TGTTTCTTTTAATAGTACTTTAAGCCTGTTAGGGTTAGAGTATTTTATATCTAAATTACGGATCTTGGATCACTGTATTTGCAATGCTGCCAGCAAATATAGTTCTGTAAAAACAGGCTGTAGTGTGTAGAACTTCCAGGTCTGGGATAAAAGCTTTATAGTATTGCTCATCTACTATGCCAGGTACCAACGTATCGCTTCATACCAGTTCAGCTGAATCCTTATGAGGATATTGTGGCTGAGGTTGGAGGGGAAGTGAGAGTCTTGGGCCACAGTCTGTGGTATGGGGCCTTTTGATGGGATGTGGGGAGAGCCACAAGGTGAAGGAAAGATGGAGTCTCAATCCAAAGTGATGAGTCCTCTGCAACAAGGAAGAGCCATAAGCCCTCCATTCAAACCTGTGAAGGGAGAAGAGTGGAGAGAGAGGGACTGCCCAGAATGAATGCTTTACTCTTCTGACTCCCTCTGAGTCCCAGAGAATTATACAGCAAAACCATAAGGAAACACAATCTAGAGAATGAGTGGATGCTTAGGAACTCAAGTTGTGGTTCAAGAGTGCACCAGTCACTGAAATAAAATCGGTTTGATGTCCCAACCTTCTGAGCACCAAACCCTTGGCCATAATATATCAGTGGTGTTCTCTTTGGCAAATACTGTCTATCTATTTCAGTGATGTTCCACACACACACAAAAAAACTTATATATATATATATATATATAACCATTTAACTTCATTTTATAATTTCTTTAGGGTGAAACCACTGCAATGTTTGCAAAATAAATTTATTTTACAAATTCACAGGTGGGGCTAGAAATTTCTGTGAGCCAAGAAGTGACAACCATTCAATCTTAGGTAATCAGCTGTAAAAATAAAAACATAAATAATTTTTAATTATTCAAAATTGCCTTTATTAGTTTTTTTACATGTCCTTGGAAAGAACTGAACCTAAGAGGTCTGTAAAAAGCTGTCTCTAGATATGAATCCAGTTAATGTGAATTGCATATGACAGACTGGTAAGTGCTGATCAGTAGAGTTTCCTCCTACCTACATCACTACAATAAGGTACTTTCCATAAATAGAGATTACCTCCAAGGATTATTTTAAAATTAAAATTTATCTAATTAGACTCATATATATGCTAAAATGGATGCTTTATTCAATAACAATATATGCTTGGCAGCTAAAATTTAATATCTGGCTCATTATTGATGCATTATTTATATCAGCCTTTTTGTAGACTTATATTTATTGCTTATTTGAAAGGCAGAGTTACAGAGAGAGGGGGGAGACAGAGAGACAGATCTTCTATCTGCTTATTCACTCCTGAAATGGCCACAACATACTGGACTGGGCCAAACTGAAGCTACGAGCCAGGAGCTCCTTCCTGGTCTCCCTCGTGGGTAGAGGGGACTAAGAACTTGAACCATCCTCTGTTATGTGCCAGGCATATTAGCAGGGAGTTGGATCAGAAGTGGAGCAGGCAGGACTCAAATAGCTCCCATATGGGCTGCTGGAGTCACAGGCAGCAGCTGCACCACAACACAGGCCTCCTTCATATCTGGCCATTTGATAGGGTTTGTCCCCACATTTTGACTGTTAGCTGCTAGTCTGTTTCTTTTTTTTTTTTTTCTCAAAATTGTGCTTAAAAAATATGACCATTTCAGTTCCTTGGATCTGATTCCCTTGGAGCTCTCCTCCTGACCACTGCAGCAAGAGGATTCCAACTTAAATAGATCTTGTTTTGCTCACTGTTTTGTATGCATGGAAATTTTTTCACATGAGACAAAGGATGGAGGTCAACTTTCTTCCCAACAGCTACACTTGTAACACTTAGACATATTATTTAGAGAGAGAGACAGAGAGAAAGGTCTTCCTTCCATTGGTTCACTCCCCTAATGGCTGCTACGGCCGATGCTGTGCCAATCCGAAGCCAGGAGCCACGTGCCTCTTCCTGGTCTCCCATGTGGGTGCAGAGACTCAAGCACTTGGGCCATCCTCCACTGCCCTCCTGGCCACAGCAGAGAGCTGGACTGAAAGAGGAGCAGTACCCAGGGACTAGTACCCAGCACCCCAACTGGGACTAGAACTCGGGATGCCTGCGCCGTAGGTGGAGGATTAGACAAGTGAGCCACGGGGCCGTCCTAGACACATTATTTCTTAAATTAGCCTAGTACATTCAGTAACTTTTGATATTATTGAATCAGATACTGATTCACAAACATACAAATGTTTGCAAGGGAAAGAATGATCACACTGCCAAGATCTCAGACCTTGAAAAATTGACACAATAATCTTGACTACTGTGGCTGGTGCAGTGATGTAGCAGACAAAGTTGCTGCCTGCAGTGCTGGCATCCAATATAGGTGTCAGTTAGAGTCCTGGCTGCTCCACTTCCAATCCAGCTCCCTGCTAATGTGCCTGGGTAAGAAACGGAAGATGATCTAAGTGCTTGAGACCCTGCGCCTACATAGGGGCCCCAGATGAATCTCTGACTCCTGGCTTCTGTTGGGCTCTGGCACTTGTGGCCATTTGGGGAGTGAACCAATCAATGGAAGACCCCTCTCTCTGCCATCTGTCTCTCTTTAACTCTGCCTTTAAAATAAATAAATGAAACTCTTTAAATAAAAAGTCTTGACTACCAAAATCCTATTTGTCATTGTGAACTAATCAGACACTAAGAGATAAGTATGAAATTTTTTCTTGCCTTTTTTCCTACAATGTTGGGTTATTCAACATACTGGTTTTGGAACAGTCCCCAAAACTAAGTATCAAAACCTCATCTTAAAAAAGTGTGCTATATGTGCACTCTCTTAATATTTTATATCTGCCATTGACAAAATCATTTTTGTTCATAATGAGATTTCAATGGTGTTGAGAATCAGTACACAGACATTCCACTGTGAATACAGTTTTTAATATACATATCAAAAATCCAAAAACCTTGAATTGTCAATCTTGTTTTAGTTATTCCAGTGACTCTGCAGCTTCAAATTTGGAGACAAGTCTTCCTTATGAGACTACCAAATATCAGTATCTTCAAATGTTCCTGTTACATAAATTCCATCAACGCACAATTTAATATCATATACACCACATACTCCAATTTTCAATCTTTCAAAGCACATTAACAAAATTATTAAGAAAACTGTACTACCACAACCAAGATGTTACAGAGTGAACACGGTTCTGACAGAGCAACAAGGAGTGGTTTTCTGTAGGAAAGAGTTCTACTAAGCAACCAAGGAGAAGTAATTGAAAATATTCAAGACGGATTAAATACACAATTATGACTCCAAATTCCCATTCACTGTGTGTTGTACTGTAGGATATAAAAAGCACACCCCCCCATGTAATGTTAACACCTAAAACAGTTAACCCCTCCTGTAATTCAATATCCCACTATTTTCTGGTCGTACAAAACAAACAAACAAACAACAACAACAACAAAAACAACCTCCAGCAAATGATTTCATCTCTTAAAAATGTAATTTACACTTAAAAAATGGGATAAAGTGCTCTTAAATCCTTCTCAAAAATGTTTCTACAGCTACTAGAAAACATTCACTTACAAAATAGTTAATAAAAAATACTCCTCTGAGTTAAATAAATTAAATGAATGGGCAGATTCTTTCAGACAGTGTGTACTAGTTATCCGAAGCTGGCATAACGAAATAGCCCAGACTAGGTGGCTTAAACAACAGAAGTTAGTTATCTGACAGTTCTGGATTAGATAGCAAGCATGTGAGCCCTTGTCCTGGGTGTGCGCCCATTGTATCTTCACATGGAAAAGAGACAGATGGTGGGTGGTGGGAGGGAAGGAAGTAGGGAGGGAGAGAGAGAGAGATCAATCAATCTTGTAAGATCCTCTTATAAGACAACAGTCCTACCAGTTTAGTGTCTTTTTTTTTTTATGAGGAACTTGTTTGCTTTTTTTCTGTTCAAATTTATTTTCTTAACTTTTATTTAATGAATATAAATTTACAAAGTACAGCTTATGGATCACAATGGCTCCCCCCCCCCCATAACTTCCCTCCCACCCGCAACCCTCCCCTTTCCTGCTCCCTCTCCCCTTCCATTCACATCAAGATTCATTTTCAATTCTCTTTTGGTACTATTATGAATAAAGTTGCTGATAACACTCATGTAGAGGCTTTAGTGTGCCATAAGTTCTTCTTTCTTTTTTTTTAACTTTTATTTAATAAATATAAATTTCCAAAGTACAGTTTATGAATTACAATGGCTTTCCCTCCGCCATAAGTTCTTATTTCTATGGAATAAATGCTCCATAGTGCAAAATGGCAGCATCATATGGTAAAGTCCTGTTTGGCTTTTGTAAGACATTGCGAGTTGTGACACTGATAAGAAATAGTGTATGATATTAACCATTTGTGGCTTCTTTTCATCTGCTTCATCAGACATCTGGCTCATCTCATTTTAAGTTTTCTTTTTTCTTTTTTTTTTTTTCATTTTTTTTCAGGCAAATCTTCTTTAGTTTAGCCAGTTCGACAAGTTTTCCCTTTGCTCCTGTGTCCCCTTTGCTTCACCTCTTAAGTCACTTGTTTTACTAAAACTTTTCCTAGTTCTTTCCTATACAAGAAATTATGTTTACTTTCTGGAATCCTAAAACCTTTGCACGTATCATATGACACCAATATAAATTTTATGTTTAGGTAAAGCAAACATTCTAATTAAATCAGTGAGTAGACCGAAGGGATAAGTATGTATAATATGTGTTCTCCCAAAGCACCAGATATCTTGGACTAAGTTTGGAATCAAGTTGTATTGGCTGTTTTGTCTGTGTGCAAAACTTTAAATTTAAAGTTTTTTTTTAACTGTTGTCATTTCTTTCATTACCAACCTAGGTAACCCAAGAACTTTCTGTCTGAATCTTCCAATAAAAATTTAACATGAAAATAACATGACCTTTTCCCTTTCAAAGTTAATTTTTAATTTCTTCTATGTTTAAATTGCCACTCCAACTCTTTGCGCACTTAAAACTCGTCCTCAGAAGGGCCGTGTGAGCAGCTGCACCATGGTGTCCGTGAAGTGGGCTTCCTCAGTCCTGCTGCTGCAACTCTGCTGTGCTGGCTGTGGCTTCTGTGGGAAGGTGCTGGTGTGGCCTTGTGACATGAGCCACTGGCTTACTATCAAGGTCATTCTAGAAGAACTCGCAGAGCGGGGCCATGAGGTAACAGTGCTCACCCATCCACATACTCTTCTCATTGATCACTGGAACCCCTCTGCCCTGAACTTTGAGGTGGTTGATGTGCCATTTGTCAAAGAGAATACCAAGAAAAATCATGCAGCAATGCAGAAGCTACCTCTTAATGTCTCACCACTGTTGCTACCCTGGCAATCAATAATAAAACTGAGTGACCTCTTAAGGGGGATGAATAAAAGTTTTAAACTTTTCTGTGAGAGTGTCATCTACAACCAGACACTCATGAAGAAGCTGCAGGAAACCAACTATGATGTAATGCTCATCGACCCTCTGAAGCCCTGTGGGGAGCTGGTGGCTGAGCTGCTTGCAGTTCCCTTTGTAATCACTCTTAAGTTTTCCGTAGGAGGCAATATGGAGAGGAACTGTGGGAAACTTCCATCTCCACCTTCGTATGTCCCTGTGACTATGGTGGGGCTACCAGACAAGATGACTTTTCTGGAAAGAGTGAAAAATGCAATGCTTTTGGTTTTCTCTAACTTATGGATTCAAGGTGGTGACTTTCAAATTTGGAACCAGTTTTATAGTGAAGCCTTAGGTAAGTGACTCTATTTTAAACTGGTTATGAAAAGAAATATGGACAGATTTCATGTCTTATATACAAAATGACTTATGAGTTTTCAAATTTTAGAAAACCTTGCTTTCCATTCTAAAATAAAGCCAAAGTTTATCAATAAAATATGATAGACATTAACACAGAGATTTTCATATTTTATTTAAACTTTTTAAAAATGTACAAGATGTTTTTGAGAATCATTAATGATTATTTTTAAGTTTGTACCATTTATATTACAAGGTACCCACGATTCTTCCATCTCATATATTTCTTTAGTTTCTTCACAAAGTCTGCTATAGAGAATTTTAGTCATGGCTTCTCATATTGAAATATCTTTTGGGATGTTTTAACATCTTGAATGATTATTATACTAATGCCTGAGAAATTAATATGAAAATTATTCACTACTTGGTGTCTTGTAGTAATTTAAAAACTCTTTTGATATTTTTGTTTTGTGATATAAAATACAATAGATTTTTTTCCTAAACCAGTGTACATAAATTGACTTATAATTTCCTTGCCCTTTCTTCTAGATTATGGTTTTTGTTGTGATTTTCATGCATTCAGTTGTGATCTGCATGTCAATGCAGTTAGGCTGCTTCTCAAACTATATTCAAAAAGTACAGAGTCACGAACAGAGAAACAAAATATCATAATAGACTCCTAAAATACTAACAGACATAATTCATTGAAGTCTGTTAGACAAATTACTTCATAGAATTAAGTTCAGGGGAATCCACTTCAACAGTTCTCATTGATAACATGATGTAAATTCAAATGTGCTGATTTTCTCTTATTAATCAATGAAATAATCAGAAAACACTGCCTAGGTAAATAAAACTCTCTAGGTTTCATGCAGCTTGCAAGACAGTAACACAAGATTCCTGACCTCAAGTCTTCCCTAATAGGTCATTTTTCCATTCCTTTATTGTCTATAGAAATTATCTATTCCGGGTAAACTAGGGTCTTTTTGCTTTCTACTTGTTAAACTTCTTATTCTGTGAGGTATTCTTTTCTCTGTAGTGTAAATTTAAAATATTTTATCCTAAAAACTAGAAGAAAAAATGAAAGAGTGAGTGGAGGATGATGGAAGTGAGAGAGGGGGAAAAAGGAGAGAGGAAGGGAACATCATTATGTTCTTAGAATTGTACCTAAAAAGCACATTGAATCTGTTAAAACTAATTAAAATAAAATTTTTTTAAAAATAATGAAAACAAAATGAAGCTCAAAAATATTAAGGAAGAAAATTATGTTTATGTATTTTACTGCTATAAATAAATACAAAACTATTAGTAGGTCACTGCAATACTTTAACACAACAGGATTTCGATTAAAATCCCATTGAAAGGTTCATATTGAAAACAGAGCAGAAATGTAATAAAAAAAAGTTTGTTCTGACTAATCATTCAAGCAATTTTGAAAAATCTTTACTTATCTTCCCAGTTGGGCAGCTTGAAATAATCAATTCATGTGATAATAACACTTATTTGGTGTCTAAAACTTAAGAGATATCAATCATCTTCCTTCAAGTACTTTTCCTATAGTTCTCCATTTATAATATTTCAAATAAGCATTACTTTTGAATATTTGTGTAACTTTACTTTCATGTATAATATACTTATAATTATTATATATTATTATATATAGTTATTATAATATAATAATATACTTCATGTATAATATTTCAAAAAAGCCATTACTTTTGAATATTTGTCTGTGTAAATTTACCTTCATTCTCTTCCCTTTAAAAACTTCTATAGTTGCTGTTAATCATCCATTTACATACAGAATATCTTTAATTGCTTTAAACTGTCTTTCTTACATGAGATCTAAAGCCCTATAGACTGAGGCACTCAGGAGTTGTCAGCTTCCCAAGCAGTGGCTTAACTGCACCCCAACTCTTAACATTTTGTGTTTTGAAGTTAATACATGCTTATGGTAAACATCTTGAAAAATCCCTAAGGTGGAGTAAAAGTACTACCTTTAAATCCCAGTTGAGGGCAGCTGATCCTGCCCCCTGAGGCATGTCTGAATTACTCTCTGAGTGATAGGGAAGTCTGTAAGTTAATATTGCTAGCAGCCACCAGAAGCTAAGAGAAGAGAGGTGTGGAACAGATTTTCCTGAAGAGATTCTGGAAAGAACAATTTGGACTAACACCTTGATCTTGTACTTCTAGACTCCAGAACTATGCCATGCTTGTAAAAATAGCATCAGCTAAAAACAAAACAAAACAAAACAAAAAACAGCATTGTAAGAGTTAGGGAGAAAATAACAGAGGAAAGTCTCCACAAATTGGAGGAATACAGTGGACCCACACGGAGGGCAAGGATGCACACAACTTAGGAGCCCAGCAGCTGAAAACTCTGCACCAGCATTGGAGAGTGAGGTGAGAGCAGACTGCAGCAGCCCAAACCACTGGCGAAAAAGCTGCAGGAAGAGGCTAGAGGGAATCTGGCTTGGAGCCCTGTGGGGGATAGTGTACCCACCAAACTAAAGGAGAAAAAACAAAGTGGGGGCACATTTTCTCTCTCCATGATCATCCTGCAAAGGCATCCTATATCAAGCTGACAAAGAGCAGGTGCCATTTTGGACATGTAACAGCTGCATCAACTCAGGTGCATGCCCAGTAATGAACTAGGAGGAAACTCCAGAGTCTGGTGGAAACAGACAGGAGGCTGGATGCTCGGGAATGTGGCAGGGTTGGGTGCTGGGACTGTGAAAACACTGAGGCTGCATGGGAGGACTCAGGGTGCAACTGGGACATTGGGCAATCACTTTAGGAGGATCAACATGATCAGGATTTCCTGGTTACCTGGTGAGGGACATTGCCTGGGAATCAGAGTTTAAACTGAGGTCTGCACAGAACCTTTGTGTGGTCCTTGTGGCAGAGTGGGCAAATAATAAACTCACTGAGGCTAGTGCCCAGGCATTGGTCTCCTTTGAGGAAAGGAGCTCAGCTGAGTGTACACCAACAGACAAGAAGAAACCTCTCCTCTGTCTGATTAAAACAAAGAAAATTTACCAGGACAAACCTGGGTGTGTCACATCAGACATGCCCTCTACCCTGGAGCACTGAACAGAGCTACCTGGCCACACCTATCACATCCCTGTAGTTATCCTTGAAAGCAGATACTCCATTAACTTACCCAGATATAGTCCAAAGATAAAAGCCACCACAGCCAAAAAAAAAAAAAAAAAAAAAAACAAAGAAGAAACCAATGAGTATTTCCAGAAATGCTGAATAGCAAACACACCAATTCAAGAAACAAGAATAAAGAAGACAACAGGACATCCCCAAAATAACATAGCACTTCAATACTAGATTATGAAGATGATGAGATTGAAAAATTCCAGAAATGGAATTCAAAACACTGGTCATAGGATTACTTAGAAGTAATCAGAAGCAAATGCATGAACTAATGAAATCCACACATGACAAAATAGAAAATTTATCCCATGAAACTGATATCTTAAAGAGAAATCAAAATGAAATCTTGGAAATGAAAAATTCAATAGAACAATTAAAAAATGAGTGGAAATCCTGAATAATAGAATCAGTTAAGCCGAAAAAAGAATATCTGACTTAGAAGATGAAGCACAGGAAATCAGTCAGAACAAATATAATAAGAAGAAATTAGAAAATTAAAAAACACTGTTGGGAATCTATAGGACACTATGAAACAACCCAACATACAGGTTGTAGGAGTTGCTGAAGGCATGGAAAGAGAGAAAGGGTTAGAAGGTTTTTTTTGCTGAAATAATAACAAAAAAATTTCCCAATTTGGAGAAAGAAAGGGACATCCAAGTACAGTAAGCACATAGAACTCCTAATAGACATGACCAGAAAAGATCTTCACCATGACACATTGTATTCAAACTCACCACAGTAAAACATGAAAAGATTCTAAAATGTGCATGAGAGAAATAAAATGCCACATTGTTTTAAGAGCATTTCCAATTAGACTCACAACAGACTTCACATCACAAACACTACAGGCTAGGAGAGAATGCCGAGATATATTCCAGGGATTAAGGTTAAAAAAAAAAAAAAACAAAACCCTGTCAACCCAAAATATTATATCCTGCAAAGCTCTCCTTTATGAATGAAGGTGACATTGAAAGAATTTTGTCGCTCCCCGTCTTAATGGAGGAACGACACAGGACCCTGCGCTGTTCTTTTGTCTGCTCGGCCCTCCCCAGGTTTGCTGCTGGTCCTTCCCGGGTTGGCTACCGACCCTTCCACCTCCGTGGAAGGGCGGTTCCCCCTGCCACATTCCCCACTTCCGTGGGGGAGCGGCACACCGCCGGCCGGCTCTCTCGGGGGCTGCACAGGTGTTCCCCTTAGATGTTCCCCCTAGATGTTCCTGGTGCATGCCGTCTCTCTCCTCCTTTATAGTCCTCCTCCGCCAATCCCAACTCGGCTGCCCACACGCCGAGTACGCTGCTCTCCTCCAATCAGGAGCAAGTCCTACAGTTTATTGGCTGAACTGGAGGCAGCTGTGTAGAAGCTGTTTTCTTCTCTCCCAGCGCCATATTGTGGGAGAGCAGATGCATAGAATAAGTCTTAATTCCAGTAACTCAGTCCAGTCCGGGTTGCTCCCCACAGATCCCCCTTTCTTTTTATTTTTTGGCGTTGATACGCGCCTGTCTTCGGTGTCCCGTGGCACACACTCTGCTCTACTTGCTAGAGTTGCCACAGGTTCTTACAAGTCCTATCAATCAGGCAAACCGAATCCGGGTCCTCTCTTCGCCATGTTGTGAGGAGGTTTTTAGGCGCTGATGCGTGCCTGTCTTCGGTGACCTGCAGCGCATGCTCTGCTCTGCCTGCAGGTGCTTACAAGCCCTATCAAGCAAACCGAATCCAAGCCTTCTCAGCGCCATATTGTGGGTAGGCTTATTGGTGTTGATTCGTGCCTATCTTCGGTGACCTGCAGCTCATACTCTGGTCGAGCTGCCTACTGGTGCTTACCGCCTTACTAATCAGGCAGACCGAATCCAAGCCTTCTCATTGCAGTATTGTGGGGAGGCCTTTCTATTTCTCTATTTCTCTATCTCCGGGCATTCCTATTTCTCCCATTTTACTTCTATCTTCCAGCATTCCTATTTCTCTCATTTTACTTCTAAACTTCTGTTTCTCTTATCCCCGCGGCTTCCCGGCGCCCGCCCCGAGGCTGCTTCTCGGCGGCTTTCCGGCTCTGAGCCGCTTCAGCCCGCGCCTCTCTCATCTGCGCGGCTTCGCACTAGCCCAGCGTTCCCTATCTACTTGAGCCCTGCACGCTCTGTCTGCGCGCGGCAGCCTCCGCGAGTCACACAGCGTAGCTTACGTGTCCGCCACTAGCATTCAATCTAAGTTCCCCGGGCTAACCTGGCGAATTCAACCCAGTTCACGTCTCTGCCCCACGATTTGGCTTCCCGTCCTTTGCTCCCCGGGCTAATCAGACGGATCCCAATCTGGCTTACGTTTCCGCTTCTGGTTTCAACTTTTCGCCCCCTATTCCCGGGCTAACTTGAGAATCCCAAAGTGGCTTTCGTCTCCGCCTCGGCCTGCCCCCCGCGGCTTCAATTTCCCTAACATTTTTCTCTACCCGGTATGTTTCCCCAAGCTTTCTTCCAACAATACTCCTCCCTCATTTCTCCTGGCCTCTCCCCACAGTCCGCATCCGAGTCTGTTTGTTCTAGCTTTCACTTTCGCTTTCGACCTTAGAGATTTCTCCCAGCTTCCCCCTGTAGTCCGTATCTGAGTCTATGCCTAGGCTTTCAATAGCTTCTTCCGGCACCTTTTTCGTCCGGCTTTTCCCTAGGCTGTTTGCTAGTCTCTCTCTCCGATATTTTCCCATTTCTTCCCGTTTCTTTCCTCCTAAGTTTCCTATCCGTCCTAGGTTTCCTATCCGAGTCACGGCACCATTATGTCGCTCCCCCTCTTCGCGGAGGAACGACACTAAACCCTGCCTAGGCTTCATATCCGAGTCACGGCACCATTATGTCGCTCCCTGTCTTCGTGGAGGAATGACACAGGACCCTGCGCTGTTCTTTTGTCTGCTCGGCCCTCCCCAGGTTTGCTGCTGGTCCTTCCCGGGTTGGCTACCGACCCTTCCACCTCCGTGGAAGGGCGGTTCCCCCTGCCACATTCCCCACTTCCGTGGGGGAGCGGCACACCGCCGGCCGGCTCTCTCGGGGGCTGCACAGGTGTTCCCCTTAGATGTTCCCCTTAGATGTTCCTGGTGCATGCCGTCTCTCTCCTCCTTTATAGTCCTCCTCCGCCAATCCCAACTCGGCTGCCCACACGCCGAGCACGCTGCTCTCCTCCAATCAGGAGCAAGTCCTACAGTTTATTGGCTGAACTGGAGGCAGCTGTGTAGAAGCTTTTTTCTTTTCTCCCAGCGCCATATTGTGGGAGAGCAGATGCATAGAATAAGTCTTAATTCCAGTAACTCAGTCCAGTCCGGGTTGCTCCCCACAAATTTGACACCACCTAACCAGCCTTACCAAATATGTTTAAGGATGTGTTGCACACAGAAACACAGAAACATGGTCATCACTACGGAAGAAGGTAAAGGAAGGAAGTCTCCCAGTAAAAAGAAATCCAAAGTAAAAAAAACAAGAATATTTCTTAAAAAATGGCAGGGTAAACTAATACTTATCAATAGTCACCTAAAATGTAAATGGCCTTAACTATCCAGTTAAAAGACGCAGACTAGCTGAATAGATTGAAAAACAAAACCCATACATTTGCTGCCTGCAAGAAACACATCTCACTAACAAAGATGCACGCAGACTGAAAGTGAAAAGATGGAAAAAGATAGTCCATGCTAACAGAAACCAAAAAGAGCTGGTGCAGCCATCCTAATATCAGACAAAATAGACTTTAACACAAAACTGTTAAAAGAGACAAAGAGGAAAACTATGTAATGATTAAGGGATCAATTCAATAGGAAGATGTAACTAATTTCAGGGCACCTGGCTATTTAAAAAGAAAGAAATGTTAAGAAATTTAAAAAAGGAAGAAATGTTAAGGTATCTAAAAGGAGACATACACTCAAATAAAATAGTAATGGAAGATTTCAATATCCCACTTTCAGCAATGGACAGATCAACCAGACAGAAAATCAGCAAAGAAATAACAGAGTTAATCGACACTGTATATCTAATGGACCTAACAGATATCTACATAACTTTCCATCCTACAGTTGCAGAATACACATTCTTCTCAGCAGTGCATGGACCTTTCTCTAGGACTGACCATATATTAGGCCATAAAGCAAGTCTCAGCAAATTCAAAAAATTGAAACCATATTATGCATCTTCTCAGACCACAATGGAATGAAGCTGGAAATCAGTAACTCAGGAATCTCTAAAACATATGTAAACACATGGAGACTGAACAACAATGTTCCTGAATGAACAGAGGGTCATAGAAGAAATCAAAAGAGAAATAAAAAAATTTTGGAACCAAATGAAGACAATACACCATATCAATACTTATGGGAAACAGCAAAAGTAGTGTTAAAAGGAAAGATTTTAGTGATTGGTGCCTATATCAAGAAATTTAAAAGGCACCAAATAAATGAACTATCAATGCATCTCAAGGATCTAGAAAAACAACAGAAAACCAAACCCAAAACCAGTAGGAGAAAAGAAATAATTAAAAGTAGAGAATAAATCAACAAAATTGACAAAAAAATACAATGCCAAAAATCAGCAAAATATTGAACTGGGTTTTTTTTTTTTTTGAAAAAATAAAAAAAATTGACACACCGTTGGCCTAACTAACCAAAAAAAGAAGAGAGAAGATCCAAATCAATAAAATTAGAGATGAAAAAGTTAATGTAACAACAGAGAGCACAGAAATAAAAAAGAATCATCAGAAATTACTACAAAGAGATGTATGACAAAATGTTTTCAAAAGAGGAAATCCAAATGGCCAAGAGACATCTGGAAAAATGCTCCAGATCACTAGCCATCAGGAAAATGCAAATCAAAACCACACTGATCTTCCACCTCACCCCAGTTTGAATGACTTTCATGTAGAAATCAACAAACAGCAAATGTTGGTGAGGATGTAGGGAAAAAGGTACACTAATCCACTGTTGGTGGGAATGTAAACTGGAGAAACCACTACAGAAGTCAGTTTGGAGATACCTCAGAAATCTGAATATAAACCTACCATATGACCCAGCCATCCCACTCCTGGGAAATTACTCAAGGGAAATTAAATCATCACATGAAAGAGTTATATGCACCCCCTATGTTTATTACACCCCATTTACAATAGCTATGAAATAGAATCAACCTAAATGCCCATCAACTGAAGACTGGATGAAGAAATGATGGGATATGTATTCTATGGAATGCAGTGGTAAAAAAAAAATGAAATGTGCTTATTTGCAACAAAATGGATGATTCTGAAAAACATCATACTTGGTGAAATAAGCCAGTCCCATAGGTACAAATACCATATGTTCTCCCTGATCTGTGATAACTAATAGATCACCTAAAAGGAAATCTGTACAAGTGAAATTGACACTTTGAGAATTTGAACAGTTACTGTCTTGATGGTTGAGGAACAGGTGTTTTTTTTTTTTTTTTTTTCTTAACGGAGAATCCACTAGGAATGGGAGAAGGAGGAGGAGGTGGGGTGAGATTGGAGCGAGGGGGCAGGTATGGTGGAAAGAATCATAAGTTGTACTTAAGAAATTTGTACTCATTAAATAAAAGGTTTCTTTGGTAAAAAAAATAAAGCCATAAAGCCATATACTATCATCATAAATGGGTTGACAATCTAGGCAGATATGACACAGAAAACAAAGAATCTAGACAGTGTGAATATATCTGTGTAGAAGTTTGGAGATGGAGCTAAGGTTTGGTTAGGCCCAAGTCAGGAGCCCAGAATTCCTTCCTGGTCTCAAGAGACACAAATAGTTCAGCCATCATTTGTTTCCCCACAAGGTGCACATTAGCAGGAAAATGGATTGGAAGGGGAAGACATAATTTTCTTTTCCCTCAGTACCTTACCAGGGAATGAATGGTCTAATTTTTCCATTTAAATTATGGGTCAATTCCCTCTACTGAACAGTTACTTGTTTCTTCCAGGAAGACCCACCACATTATGTGAAACTCTGGCAAAAGCTGAAATTTGGTTAATCCAAACATACTGGGATTTTGAATTTCCTCGTCCATACTTGCCTAATATTGAGTTTGTTGGAGGACTGCATTGCAAACCTGCCAAACCTTTACCCAAGGTAGTATAATTACTTGGAGGGATCTTGGGTGATTTATAATATGATACTTGATCTTACATGAAATAGTGCAAGCTTACTAACACAGACATGATTATGAACACATTCATATTTTCATTCGATATTCGATTTCTGTGTCACAGGGGACTTACGGTTGCTAATAATTCTTTCAGGTGTTGCTTTGATAAACTAGTCTGTGTGTGAAGTGACTAAAGTAAATTTTAATAAATTAATGTTACTAATGTGTTGATAACAGGTTGTAGTTACAGCAAATTAGGGATAGGAGATCGTTCTAGTCTTCTTCACTGACATATTTGGATTAGGACCAAGGACACTTAACAGGATGATAGCCAGATAACATACTTTCTAGAAACTCATTGTGGTATATTCTACAGGATTTAGTCAGTGGAAGTGTTCAAATAAGAGAAATTGTTGAGGATCCTTTGATTTCCACTTTGAGTGCTAAAATGTGTGTGTTATCTCTCGCTGAAATAGGATATATCTAGAGGTAAAGCATGTCTCAAATTAATATAATGAGTTATCTCTTATGACCATGCAGGAGAGGAGTAAAGAAAACTTTCAGGTGAAGTTCTCTAGAAATCACTTGGATAATGCAAGGTCTCAATCTCAGGCTATAGCAATACAAAGCTTTAAAGTTATGAGCAAGAGTAGAGTTTATGGACATGGGTAAACCAAAAGTTAGATCAATTCTTTCTTAGCCTATTGGCAGGTTTCTTTTGAAGTTAAGAACGAGATTATAGTTATTCACAAGTCTTCAGAAAAAAAATGTGGCATGCCATGGATGTTGGAAGAAACAGTATTGAGAAGCAAGAACGAATTATAATTTATCTGTTTCTTCGTCTACTTTGAGCTTGAGATCTCTGTCCCCCTGATTGGCTATAAACTCTACTTCCCACCTGAAGGGGCTCAAGGATATTTAGTTGAAGGTGTTTACAATGTGCCTTTCACAGGATTCTTTCTTGTCCTGGTGCATGGCTTACTGTGTGACTGTTCAACTGTGACCAACTCTTTTTCACTGTACAAACTTCTTTATAGCAGCAGATGCCTCTGTGGCTGTTATCTAGTCTGTGCACCTTTTCTTACAACCAGGAGAGACATACCATAGCAAACTGACTAGGACAAAGTTTATGGCATGTTAGCTGGTTAAATGAAAAACAAAGGAGTCAACTCAACAAAATTCATGAAATAACAGAAGTAGTTTATTAACTGCAGTTTCCAGAGAAGAGAGTTAAGTGTGCCTTGTAGAGTGACTGGGAAAGAGTGAGATTTCTAGAGCAAGGAAGTTTTAGCAGTTGATGGGACACAGAACACAGACTGAGGGATCTGTAAGGCAAAGTATTTATTAGGAAACTGGACATTATCCATGTGGGTTTACAGCATTGGATTGTGATTGTTGAGTTCAAGAGCAAGTGGCATGAGTTCTGTTGAGTCACTGTGAGTGAGAAGTGGTCACTGCAGCACACCACAGTTCATATGGAGTATGAGGACAGAGGAGTGAGCCAAGTCAGTTGTATATGGCTGTAATATTGGGATTCAGTGATCAGAGGTCACTGTTGTTAAGATAGGTATCAAAATTAACCATGTTGAGGAACTTGAAGGAGACAAAGAATTTGAAACTTTTTCAGTGTTGATAAAACCTTGATTCTAGTGTGATAAATAAAACACAGATGCCACAACAACATAAACCGAACAAATTCATCACAATTATTGTTTGAGAGAATATTGTGTTTAACTGTCAATAGAGTGAGTAAAATCCCTAGTTTCTTGTGTTGTGGGAATATGAAGAATATGAGTCAAACACCTTAAGAGATATTGCAAACTAAATAGAATGTTTTAGAGAATTATGGATATCTCTTCATAGTTAGACAGGTATTGATGAATGAAATCCCACTTCTGGATTATGTATATCTTTTTCTTACCAGTAATACTATAGCTACAAACAAAACTCTATTTTTTTTTGCTGTATTTGCATCTATTGCGAATACAAAAAATAGAGTGAACACCAGTTCCCCTACATACTACATTCTATAATTACATCTATTAACTCATGGCATTATTTAACTAGAAATACAGAAAGACTAGTAAGTTACCATTGCCATGGCTCTCTAGGTAATCTGCAATGCTCAATTATATTTCCCCTCACTCCCATTTTTTTTCCAAACACACATGAAATTATGCAAATTTTAAAATAGATAAATATTAACATTACAGTCAAGAAATAGAAAAATTGATTATATTTAAATTAATTGTTAATAATTTGGAAGCTTTATTCAGACACATTTTTTTCTATTTTTTAATGATTACTTTTATGAGTTTTAAAGTACCTTTTAAAATTTGGTTTCTATTATACATGAAAAAAGTTTTATTCTTATTACTTAATTTTTTGTGATCATTATGTAACATGGTTATCCTAGTAATAAATGATTATGTATTCAAAATATATGCTTTACACACACACACACACACACACACACACACTTCCTAGATGGTTGTGTGTGTCAGAATATAGATTCAGTCTCATTATGTCAATCTTTATTTCAGTAATGTAAGTGACTTTATTTTATTCTCGGTGCTACTGCACCTTTGTAATACACAGAATATTTTTCACTACAGGAAATGGAAGAGTTTGTCCAGAGCTCAGGTGAAGATGGCATCGTGGTGTTTTCTCTGGGTTCTGTAATTGATAATTTACCTGAAGAAAAGGCTGACCTCATTGCTTCTGCCCTGGCTCAGATTCCACAGAAGGTCAGCAAAGCCCTGCATCCAAGTGTGCCTTTCCATCTGAAAGCTGAGTCTCATTTTCCTATTAGCATGAAAGATTTCAGTATTCAGTGAAAATTTGTGAAACAGTATAACACTTCTAGGCACAATTGATTACTTGCCTACTGAACGTGGCCTTTACTTTGGAAACACCTCTCTTCACTGTCATTTTTTTGTAATAAGATAAAATTGAATAGGTTAAGCCCCATTGCACATTTTAGGATTTGAAATGTTAAGGCCTGTTTTGCTTCCTTTAAAAAACTGTGAGGTGTTTTAGCTTCCAAGAATAAGGAAAAGAGGGAACTGAAATGACAAATAGAGAGAGGAATCATGATCCAGAATATTATCTCCAATATTTGGTTGGTTGAGAACTTTATCCAATAAAGTGGGGCTGAGAAGCAGAATCTTAGATTTTTACAGTTTTTCTACTTAATTAAAATTTTCTAGCCTGAAAACAGCCGTATTTTAATGTTATAATTTACCAAATTTATTTAATAATTTAAGACACTTGATTAATTTTGACTTTATTACCATAATGTTAGATTTCAACTCTAGATATTTCTATATATGAACTATCACAGAGCTTTTTATTTTTATGTTTGATTAAATTACATAAATCTCACTAGTTTATTATGAAATTATCTGTGGAGGGGCCTGGAATATTTTGCTGCTGTTTGTATTCAGATGAAAGATTACCTTTAAAGACTTCCCCAAAACAAAAAAATATTTAATGTAGCAGAAGTACAAATCCAAACAAGATGCTCCATTGGCAAATGAAGAGGAGTAACCTGCCGTACATCCTCCACACTACCCTTCCATCTTTGTTCTTCATAAAATTCCAAATTAAACTACATATAAAGAAAGGAGAGAAGAAACAGGAAGAAATAAGACAACAAATCATCCAAAACCCAAACAGAAACATCTAGAGTAAATTATACCTGTGAGACCAATCTATGTAAAGATAGAGCTATGATGGCCCAATGATTCAAATATACACAGAAGTCAAGTATCCACAATATTTTAACTCATATATACAGACTAATTAAATAGTAATGCTTTCTTTTTCAATTCTTCATTGATAATCTCCCCTTTGGATACTTTTAATTGGTGAGACCATTGGTAACAATGTTTTTTTTTTAATATTTATTTATTTATTTGAAAGGCAGTACAGAGAGGCAGAGGCAGAGAGAGAGAAAGGTGTTCCATCTCCTGGTTCACTCCCACAATGGCCATAACAGCTGGAGCTGGGCAGATCTGAAGCCAGGAACCTGGAGCTTGTTCTGGGTCTCCCCCATGGGTGCTGGGGTCCAAGCATTTGGCCCATCCTCCACTGTCTTCCCAGGGAAGTGGAGCTACTGGGACTTGAACCGGAGCAAAATATGATGGCACTGCAGACTGGGATTTTAACCTACTGCACCACAGCACCTACCCTGGTAATAATACATTTAAAAGAAACTAGTACAGGGGGCCAGTGTTGTGGTGCAGTAGGTTAATCTTCCACCTGCGGTGCCGGCATCCCACATGGGCACCGGTTCTAGTCCTGGCTGCTCCTCTTCCAATCCAGCTCTCTGCTGTGGCCTGGGAAAGCAGTAGAAAATGGCCCAAGTGCGTGGGCCCCTGCATGCGCCTGGGAGACAAGGAAGAAGCACCTGGCTCGGATTCAGATTGGCGCAGATCCCACCATTGTGGCTGTTTGAGGAGTGAACCAATGGAAGGAAGATCTTTCTCTCTGTCTCTTTGTCTCACTGTCTGTAACTCTACCTCTCAAACAAATAAATAAAAATCTTCTTTTTTAAAGAAAGAAACTAGTACAAATCTTTTTAAAAGATGAGTATGTGTGTTGGCATTTGACATAGCAATTCAGATACTGCTTGAGACTGTGACATTCCATAGAGGAGTGCCTAGGTTCTAGTCCTAGCTCTGTTCATGATTTCAGGTTCCTGCTAATGCATACTGCAGTAAACAGATGATTGGTGAAGTACTTGGGACCCTGCCATCTGTAGGGGAGACCAAATTGAGATCCTGGTTCCTGGATTCATCCTGTTCTAGCCCAGGCTATGGCATGCATTTGGGGAATGAACCAGAAAATAGAAGATAATCTCTCTGTCTGTCTCTATCTTTCCCTCTCTCTCTCTCTTACCCCATCCCTGCCTACTTTTCAATAATCAATATAAATCTAAATTCCTTACAATTTTAATTGTGAACAGTACTGTTGTTTCTTACATGTTTACATGTGCCCCCAAATACACCTAGCTCAAATTTCATTTTACATAGAATGGAATATATATAATTTATAAATGCCTTCTGTAGCCTTAAAATGAAATTCTTGTGTTGTGTTATTTATGAAATATAGGTTTTATGGAAATTCAAAGGAAAGAAACCAGCAACCTTAGGTGCGAATACTCGAATCTATGATTGGATACCCCAAAATGATCTTCTTGGTAAGACTATGGGAAAGTACACGTATGCAGCTGGATGAGGGACAAAGTGAATAAAATTCAACAAATATTTAACAAGTGTAGAAGTTTATCAACATATCTCCAATATCTATAATTATAATTAAAGAATTGATGATTATTTTCCTAAATTAATTCATCTAATTGTTCACATTAAGAGTTTTGAGTAATGCCAAAGGAATCATTGACTCCTTTTTAAAAAGAAATTTTTCCTGGGTAGCAATGACCCAAGTTATCACCTTCTATGTAGGATACACTGTCTTCTTCATTGAGTTACCTCATTATAATTTTTCCTTCTGTTTTATTAAATACTTTTAACAATGTATGATGCAGTCCTCAGCTGTGCTCTTTTCACAAACTAGGCCATCCCAAAACCAAAGCTTTCATCACTCATGGTGGAATGAATGGGATCTATGAAGCAATTTACCATGGGGTCCCCATGGTAGGAGTTCCCTTAGTTAATGATCAGCATGACAACATTGCTCACATGAAGGCCAAAGGAGTGGCTGTGGAGGTGAACCTGCACACAATGACAAGTGCAGACTTGCTCAGTGCCTTGAGGACAGTGATCAATGACCCCTCGTAAGTACTGCTGATTTGAAAGGTTCTAATATTGACTATGCTGTTAGTTTTATCAGGAAGCATTAGAGACCAGGGTTATGGTTTTTTCAGATACTTTTGCACAGTCTTGGAATTCACCATCTTGGTCTTGATATCATCTTGAAAACTGTAGCTCATTCAGTGATTAAGTTTCTTTATGGAACAAATAAGGTTAAATTGACAATGAGCTTCTTACAAATTTACCTTTATATTCATTTCCCCCATTGTAAGAAATGAAAATGATACATACAAGGAATCACAAAAACATTAATGAAAAATGGATATTAAGTTTAAACTAAGAGTGGATTTAAACTTTTTGAATGAAAATAAACTTAGTATTTACCTAAGTCTTCCCTCAGAGTTTTTCAAGTACCCTTGTGTATTTCTTTTCAGTCTCCTCACCAAATATGTTAATGATAGTCAGTCAGCAAAGTTCATGTGACATCAAGAATTTATATTTTCGTCAGTAAGTTTTGGCTTTACAGCACATTTCATTTACTTTAATTAAAACAAAGATAAGAACGCTCTACTTTCTGTCTCTGTTCGCACTTCCAGCTACAAAGAGAACGCCATGAAGTTATCGAGGATTCACCACGATCAGCCCATGAAGCCCCTGGACCGGGCAGTCTTCTGGGTCGAGTTTGTCATGCGCCACAAGGGAGCCAAGCACCTTCGGCCAGCAGTCCATGACCTCAGCTGGTTCCAGGCCCACTCTTTGGATGTGATCGGGTTCCTGCTGGCTTGTGTGGCAGCTGTTATAATCTTTGTCACAAAATGCTTGTTGTTTTACTGCCAACAGTTTGGAAATACAGGAAAGAAGAAAAAGAAGGAATAGATCCCTTCAAGTTTGGGCAAAGTGCTGAATAGGACAAACTTATTCATTCCAGGGTTCAGGGAGAACACATCTGCTTCCCGTTTTCATATTCCCCATTCCTCAATCTTATTCTAGCATTCAAGCTAATAATCAGCTAGTGAGTGTGTCTTTTTTTTCAGTCTTTCTAGCTATTTCTTCCTCCTTTTTTCACATTACTGGTTACAGAGATACCAATAACTCTGAGATGAGACATATAGGAATGCTTTTCTTTCATTTCAGTTCCTTCTCACCACTCCCATTTTTCCTTTACCATGGCCTCGTATTATATTGAAGAGTAGTCACCATGCTGTTATCCTCTTGCCAGTCTCATCCATGTTGCTGCAAATAACAAGATTTCATTATGTTTACAGATGAATAATATTACACTATATATATAATATGTATATGAAAGCGTATTTTCTTAAGCTATTTATCTTTTGATGGATGCCTGAGACCAAATTTTGACCATCATGATTTGTGCTGTAATACAAAAAGGAGAACAATTTCAAATAAACAACCTAGTTATGCATCTCAGCATCCTGAAAAACAAGAAGAAATGAAACCTCAAATTAGCCTGGAGCCATGGCTCAATAGGCTAATCCTCTGCCTGCGGCGCCAGCACACCGGGTTCTAGTCCCGGTTGGGGCGCCGGATTCTGTCCTGGTTGCCCCTCTTCCAGGCCAGCTCTCTGCTGTGGCCCGGGAGTACAGTGGAGGATGGCCCAAGTCCTTGGGCCCTGCACCCCATGGGAGACCAGGAGAAGCACCTGGCTCCTGGCTTCGGATCAGTGTGGTGCGCTAGCCGCAGCGCGCCAGCTGCAGCGTCCATTGGAGGGTGAACCAACAGCAAAAGGAAGACCTTTCTCTCTGTCTCTCTCTCTCACTGTCCACTCTTCCTGTCAAAAAAAAAAAAAAAAAAACAAACCCTCAAATTAGTATAAAGAACAAAGTAATGAAGAGCATGGTATAAACAAAAGTGAAATGAAAAATCAGTGAGATGAATATTTTGTTTCTGACTATCTGAACAAACAACAAAACCTGAGCTAGAAAGAAAAGAAAAAAAGATAATATGAACAGAGAAAGATAAAAAAGAGATATTACAATTGCCACAGAAATATAGAGGGTCATAAAAAACTAATATGAACAAATATATGTAAACAAATAGACAACTTCAAAATATTGACAATTTCCTGGGTGCTTACAATCTACCAATATTGAATCAAGAAGAAAGAGAAAAAGCCAGCTGACCAGTATGTACAAATGAGATAGAAGTTGTAAGTGCAAGTTTTCCAACATAGAAAGTTCCAGAACTGATGGCTTCAGTGCTGAAATCACTTAAAGGAGAAATAATGCCAATTATTCTCAAATTATTCTAAAAAATTAAAAAGAAGAGAACTCTGCCAAGCGTATTTCACAAAGACACCATTACTCTGACACCAAAGCCAAAGATTGCAGAAACAATAAACTATAGACCAATTATCTTGATGAAATATGCTTTTATATTCAAGTAGCTATTTCAATGTACATCGTAACTTTATAGATTTACTGTGTAGTCAGTTAGTGCAATAATTTTCTACATAAAAGTTTAGAGATATACAGCTAATTGTAAGAAACTTTAAAATATATGACAGAATCAATAGAAGGGAAAAATTATGAACTTCAAGAAATGTAAAATATTTGTAACATTTAAAACATGTAAAATTTATATTATTTTGAAAAGTATAACATTTATTATTATAATTATTTAAATAAACTTTATAAGATATAAGTTATATATCACAAAATTCACCTATATATAATCCAATGTATTTAGTATGTTTACAGCATTATGGATTTGTTATGATAATCTGATTTTAGGACATTTTCATCACCCAAAAACAAAACGTCATACACCTTGGAGTTCAATCCCTATACCCTCTCACTCGCAGCAACTACTAACATATACATGTATGCTTGTTCTGGAATTTTTTTGTAAATGGAATCACGCATTATATTGTCTTTTACAACTGCTTTGTCTAAGTATGGTATCTTCTTAAGTGTCATCCACATTTTAGTATACGTCAGTACTACTTTTTCATTCACTTGTACTGTTGGATAACACAGTCTATAACAATACACTATATTTAACTAATTCATTAATTAACTAATGGATATTTTGTTTAACTATACTTTCTGCTATGGTGAGTAAAGATGTCCTAAATATTGATATGCACACTAATGCATGAATGTTTATTTGTTTGGGGATGATATTACTGGATAATATAATAATTTCACTTATACGAGGATCTGCCAAACTGCTTATCAAAGTGACTGCACATTTGCAATCACTTTTAGATCCATGTTAGTGAGAAATGAGGGTTTTAAGCTGTCTTATTGCCTATACATGTAATCACTTGTTATACGCATATTACAGTATGTGAAATGGTGTCTAATTGTAGTCAAAATTTGCATGACTTATTGCTGAAGTTGTTTAGCTTCTTTGATATACTTGTTTGTTAATTGTATATATTCTTTGAATAAATGTGTATTCAAAACATTTATCATCTTTAATTGGTTCTTTGTCTTTTCATCATTGAGTTGTAGGAATTCTATTTATACTATGAACACAAATCCTCAGGATATATGGTTAGCAAATGTATCCTTCAATTGTGTGTTTTTAAAATTTTCTTGCTTCGAGCCGGCGCCGTGGCTCAATAGGCTAATCCTCCACCTTGCGGCGCCGGCACACCGGGTTCTAGTCCCGGTTGGGGCGCCGGATTCTGTCCCGGTTGCCCCTCTTCCAGGCCAGCTCTCTGCTATGGCCAGGGAGTGCAGTGGAGGATGGCCCAGGTGCTTGGGCCCTGCACCCCATGGGAGACCAGGAAAAAGCACCTGGATCCTGGCTCCTGCCATCGGATCAGCGCGGTGCGCCGGCTGCAGCGGCGGCCATTGGAGGGTGAACCAACGGCAAGGGAAGACCTTTCTCTCTGTGTCTCTCTCTCTCACTGTCCACTCTGCCTATCGATAAGAGGAGAAAAAAAAAAAAAAAAAAATTTTCTTGCTTCTGTATTTAAAGAATAAAACTTTTTAATTTTGAGAAAATAATATTAATAAATATTAGTATTAATGAATTTTATCATAAAGACTTTCTTAGTTATTTGAAAGGCAGCAAACGGAAGGGAAACATACATACACACACACACACACACAGAGGGAGAGAGCGCAAGCAGTACTGTGCAGACCAAAACAAGGAGCCAGGAACCCCATCTGGGTCTCTGACATGGCTGGGAACACCTAAAGCACTTGGGCCATCTTCTGCTGCTTATTCAGTTGCATTAACAGGGAAGAGGATCAGAAGATGAGCAATCAGGACTCAAATCAGCACTCATATGCGATGCAGCATCTTACGTGGCCACGTAAGATGCTGCATCACACTGGCCCCATTTTCCTGAACACTCCAGCAACATATTCACACAAAACTCCATGCAACAACCTGAATTCCTAAAATTCACCCCCTATTCTAGTTCTTTTTTTTTTTTCCAAGTGAGGCTTTTTTTTTTTTAAGCCTATTCTAGTTCTTATCAATGATTATGCCCAGTTATGTTTTTTTCTAAAACATTTTCTCTAAAAGAAAATCTGAGACTGACTGATTGTTAACAAAGAAATGTTCTACATTGGTACAACATGATGGTCTACTCACTTTTCAAAAGACCCCAAATTAAGTCTCCATAAAAATGAAAAGCCTATAAAACTTGAAGTCCAAATTTCTTCATTCAAAGCTATGCACAAGTGGCTCAGTCTCAAGAAGAGGATCTTACTCAGGAGACTGGGTTCCCACAACCAGTTGCATCCTGAAAGGTCTTTTATAGGAGTGGATATGGCATCTTCAGTTGCTTCAAGATTAGCTCAATCCAAATCTCTGTTTTTTTAGCTTTCCGAGGTATCATGAGTTTTTATGTACATTGTAGATGTGGAATGTGGTGGAAAGGGTTTTGGGAAACTACACAAATGTTGCCATCATTCTCAGTGAGCATTGGACATAATTCCTTCTTGTGTTTTCATTTCCTTGTGTCTAGTATCTCATGCAATCTGCACTTCAGTGCAGGGTTGGGGTTCCTCTGAAATAGACCTCTTCTCTCTAGTTGCTCTAATTGTGTTCTCTCCAGGAGAGTGAAGGGAAGACCACTGTTCTCTATGGACACACGAGGAAAGGAATAATGCCTACTCCCTCAGCACCATTTTAACTTAATAGATTACATTTTAATTTATCCTAGTAATAGTGAGTGTCATCACTCTGCCGTAGATTTTTCTTTTCTTCCTAGCCATCTTACGTTGCTTTCAGCTGGTCAGTACTAAACCATTTCAACATGTAAAAAATAAGACACAAGAAGCAAGAATGCCATGGAATGAAGGTTACTCTAGTCAAGAAATAACAGAAGGATACTAGTATTCAGTAAACATTAGGAGATATTAGGTACCTTGTATTAAAGCAGTCAAAAGTTAGTCTCACGAAAGGTTGGCTGTTGAAATATGGAACTTGAACATGAGACAGAAAGACCCAAGGAATCCTGCTCTTTGGCAGAAATGTCTTCAGTTGCCCTCCTATGCTCCTTCCTGTCTCTGTGGAGTCTGTTGTTGAGTTTAATGAGTGGGGCTGTAGGTCAGAGAGGTGGGAGACAGACCAAGGTTTGCAGTTACCAACTTTTTTTCTTTTTTACTTTTATAACTTATGTGCTAAAACTAATTTATGTATATATACACAAAACATCGAACAATAACAAGCAACTTCTCCACATTGCTTCGTGCCCACCACCCAGTTAATCTAGCTCCTTGTTTTAAAATCTCTTTTCTTCTCTTGGTGGTTATTGGCATACGTCTAAGTTTATATTAATACTTTCCCTTCTTGTTTTTCAATTTTCTTAGTGTCTTACTCTGTTTTCTGATACTATAATAGATTTCATCACACTATGTAACTTATGAACGTTAGCAATTGGTCTGGGTCATTATTCTGGAAACAAGGAAGTCTGAGATCAACGGTACACATCTGTTGGGTACCTTATTTTGTCATAACATGAAAGAATGAGGAAGGGCAAAATAACATTTGAGAGACAGCAAGATAGGCCTAACTCAATTTTATAACACAACTTTTCCTTGGATAATAAACCCACTGCTGAGATAAATTCATTCATTCATAAAGGCAAAGATTTCATGACCAAAACACCTCCCAGTAGACCCCACCTTCCCACCCTTTCACATTGGGGATTGATTTTCCAGGGCATATACTTTGTTTAACTCATTCAAACCTTGAAAGACAGACTTTGGTCAGAGTTCTTTATCCAGCTTCTCCTAAGATTCCTGGTCATATTGTTTGTTTCATCTGGTGGTCATAGGAATACTTTTGATGAATATGTTGAAATCCTATTTTGTTATAACATTTTTAGTGAGATCTTTTGTGTCTGATATTACCAACCACAGCTGTGTAACTGTAACACTCATAATTGTTTAACATATCAATATTAATACTACTCAGATTACTTTAATGTTATTTTTTAGATTAGTTTGTGGTTATTGTTGTCTTTCACATCTTTTTGATATGGTGGCACTACAAAATGACATAGCAGGATTCTGAAACTAACTGTATTAAAGAATCTTGCTTGGTCAGGAAGAGCAGCTTCCCAGATACCATCTAAATGATGCTGAGGGATTTCAAAAACATTTTTAAAAATTTATTTATTTAGGGCCAGCGCTGCAACTCACTAGGCTAATCCTCCGCCTTGCGGCGCCGGCACACCGGGTTCTAGTCCCGGTCAGGGCACCGTATTCTGTCCCGGTTGCCCCTCTTCCAGGCCAGCCTCTGCTGTGGCCAGGGAGTGCAGTGGAGGATGGCCCAAGTCCTTGGGCCCTGCACCCCATGGGAGACCAGGAAAAGTACCTGGCTCCTGCCATTGGATCAGCGCGGTGTGCTGGCTGCAGTGCTCTGGCCACAGCGGCCATTGGAGTGTGAACCAACGGCAAAGGAAGACCTTTCTCTCTGTCTCTCTCTCTCTCACTGTCCACTCTGCCTGTCAAAAAAAATTATTTATTTATTTGAAAGAGAGTTATAGAGAGGCAGAGGCAGAGACCGATAGAAAGGTCTTCTGTCCACTGGTTCACTCCCCAAGTGGCCACAATGGCCAGAGATGCACCAATCTGAAGCCAGGAGCTAGGAACTTCTGTGTCTCCCACATGGGTACAGAGACTCAATCACTTGGGCCATCTTCCACTGCCTTCCCAAGACATAGCAGAGTTCTGGATCAGAAGAGGAGCAGCCTGGACATGAGCTAGCACCCATAGGGGATGTCAGGGCTGCAGACAGAGGCTTAGCCTACTGCACCACAGAGTTGGCCCCTATATCTCTTCTACGTGGACATTCGAGTTTTTCTCTTGGTTTATCCTATTTTTTTAAGTTCTATTTTCTATCTCTGTGAATTATTTGGGAGTTTTATAAATATTTGGTAGTATGGTTTTACACTATAGATTTATAACTACCTTTTATAAAATGGGTGACAGGACCTATGAACATATCAGCTAGAACCAATTATTTAAACTGCATTTAGATATTTTGTTCATAAGTATTTTACAGTTGTCTTGAATTTTTAAAATATTACTTATTTTCTTTGATTGACTTGTTAGGACTTCCTCAGATGTGTCACTCTTGACTTCATTCATCTAAGGAAATCTGCCTTGACCCTAAGGCCTCAGAGGTTAACTATTGCTCCCAGGTAGAGCCATCAGAGGGCAGAAAAGGGCAGTCGAGCAAGTGTTTGCTGTGGTTCTAGGGAGGAGGCAAAAAATTAGTTACTGGAATCAGGGGATCTAGGGTGCCAGCATGGAAAAAGATGCTTATTGTGGTGACAGTGACCCACAGTGTAGATCAAGCTGAGCAGAGTGTGGAGAGTGTTGTCCCAAGGGCCACAGCTGACGACTAGGCATCTGTTATAGCCATCAGGATGTGAATCATCAGAGCCTGTTCCCAGTCCTGACTGCTAATCTCAGCTTAAAAGCCAAGATGTGGCTCTCTGAAGCAACAGTATCTACTACCAACCTCGAGAATCCAGGCTGATTAGAGCTGAGAGTTGGAACCAGACTGCCCTCAGAGATTGAAAGGTCTATCTCAGTGAGCAGAGTGAGTGGGTTTGAATGAGCACCTAATCCAAATGCAGACAGTGATAAAGCCTCAAGTCATCCAGGTATATGATTCCATCTGACCACAATGTGGCTTCACATCGATGGGTAAGTTTTTCCCTCCTACAAGGAGTAAAAGTTTATTTCTTGTGGAAACACTTTGTGACTTAAGTACCTGACAAACCTGACTACAAACTGTTAAGTATCTGTATTTCAGTCCTGAACTCCACTGAGCCTGTTTCCTCTCCCATAAATATGGGAGTAATGCTTTTATTTGAAAAAGTGATATTGAGGAAATGAAACTATCAAAAAGTGCCTGGAGTGGCCAGCATGGTTGTGTAGTGGGTAAGCACCACTTGCAATACTGACATCCCAAAGGGGATGATCGCTCCACTTCTCCTCCAGCTCCCTTCTAATGTGCCTGGGAAAGCTTCAGAGAATGGCCCACGTGCTTGGTCAGCTACATCCATGTGGAAGAAGCTCCTTGCTCCTGACTTCAGAAAGGCCCATTTGGGGAATGAATCAACAGATCTCTCACTATCTGTATCTCCCTCTCTTTGTAACTCTGCTTTTCAAATAAATGAATCTTAAAAATGCACCTGGAAAGGAATCTGGCTTTTTGTTATTGTTCAATAGATTTGATTTTATGATTTGTTCTCTCTCCCTTTTCTTTGGGCATGGAAGAACATTCATTATACTGTTATTTTGAAGGTAAAGCTTGAAGGTAAAGATAAAAATAATAGATGTTAATGAAGGGATTATTATCAAGGAATCACTACTTTTCCTTTTTTATAAAATTATTTATTTGAGAGGTAGAGTGAGAGGCAGAGTCAGAGAGAGAATATGATCTTTCATACACAGGATGGCTCCTCAAATGGCTTCAAGAGCCATATCTGGGCCAGGATGAAGCCAGGAGCGAGTAACTCTGCCCTGATATCTCACATGGGTGGCAGGGGTCCTAGGATTGGGTCACCTACTACTGCCTTCTCATGTACATTAACAAAGATGCTGTGTTGCAAGTAGAGGATCCAGGGCTAGAACTGGCACATTGATAGGGAATGTAGGTGTCAGAGGTGATAGCTTAAATTGTTTTGCTATGACACTCCCCTTTCCTCTCCTCTCCTCTCCTCTCCTCTCCTCTCCTCTCCTCTCCTCTCCTTACCTCTCCTCTCCCCCCTCCTCTTCTCTCCTCTCCTCTCTTCTCCCCTCCCCTCTACTCTTCTCTCTTCCCCTCCAGTCTTTATCTCCTCTCTTTCCCTCTCTTCTCCTTTTCTCTTTTTAATAAATATAGTTTATCCAAATCTTTGGGTGAATCTTTAATTATTTCCCGAGTAAATAAAGTGCCAATGACCCCCTAAGATTTATTTATGTGTTTTAAAGGTTTACAGAGAGAGAGGGAGAGACATCTGCTGTTTCACTCTCTAAGCAGCCACAACACCCAGAGTAGAGGCAGGTCCAAACCAGGAGCTTCATCTGGGACTCTGACATGAGTGGCAGGGGCCCATGCACTTGGCCCATCTTCCACTGCCTTTTCCAAGCCATTAGCAGAGAGCTGGATCTGAAGTAGAGCAGCCTGGACATGAACTGGCACCCATATGGTATGCCAGTATTATAGACAGTGATTTTACCTGCTGTGCCACAATGCTAGCCCCCACCTCATGCTACCTTTTCTGTGGTGTTATTTCATTTACTAGGCATGACAGTCTTCTGATGTACATTGACTATCATCTCTGTTTTGTAAATAAAGACATGGAAGTATTTCTAGAATAATTAATTTTCCCAATTTTACATGCATGGTAAATAAGAGTGATAGATAAAACCATCTAGTATATGAACATTGGATCACTCATTTAAAATTTTGATTGAAAAAATAGAATCAAGAAAGAGTTTTGTGTTTGTGATATATTTAAATGTTATAGGCGTAGCATCACTTTTATATTATCTCTTCTTTTTAGTACTCAAGGTGGAAAGGTCAGTGTTAACCTAAATAAATGAGGGTAGACTACTATGGACTAAATTGTTTACCCACAAATGTCCATGTCGAACACCTCACCTCTTTGTCCTTCCCTGCCATGTAAAGTAACAGTGGGGAGACGTTTGTCTACAAGACAAAAAAGGGGGTTAGATCAGAAATACTTGCTGATCTTGGGCTTATAGTATACTTCACTGTAAATAAAGTAAACCTCTTTTCTTTACGCATTACCTGGCTCCAGGTGCTTTCTATATGAATAGAAAATGGCGTGAAAACTATTATTATAATATTATATTCCAGTTTGGGGAGATTATACCATTTGTAGAAACTGTATCAAAGATTTTTGATTTCCTCAATTTCATGTGGATTTATAATAATCTCATATTATTTTTGAAAAAAATTAACAGTTGGGTCATTTTAGAAATTAGTGTGGCAGATCATCAGTTATGGCATGAGCCTTAGAACCATGACATCATAATAGGAAGTTGTCCTCACTGCTACAGAATCCTTGATGTTTCTGGGTTTTTCTACAGTGCTCTGCCAAGAGCTAGACACTATCAATTTTCTGTGCCAAGGATTCAAGAAAAAGCTCTTCACATCAACCAAAAGTGGTCTAATCTTTTGGAAAGTCATCTAAACATACACAATATAAGGTAATCTTTTCATATACTGTTTTAGATCATCCAATTGCACTGGTAGTCTCAGGAAGTGTTCTAACTCATGTCCCCTAAAACATAGAACTAGTTCATGATTTCAAAAAGCTACTCATGTTCCTAAGAATTTGTGTTGCTGAACTTGAGATAACATACTTTGCATTCTCAGATGAGGTTCCTTACTCAGTGAAAAAAAGTTTCTGTAAGCCTCTGAAAATAGCTGCTCTATTTATGAAAAAGTTTTATATTTTCTTTGGTCTATTTGGTTTTATGTAGTGTGATTACAGAGCTCTATTGGAACATGGTCACAGCCCAACAAAATTATAACAAAGCATGGGCTTGGTTTTAGAAATTTTTTACATGTTTCCAGAATTTGATGCTCTTTAGCACTTTGGTTCACAAAATTTTAATAGTAAAAATGGAATCAATTTATCATAACGTGCAGTTATGTACAGTTTTATAACATAACACCAAGTTTTAATTCTCATAAATTGTGTAGGTAAGGTATTTTGTATATCACATCACTAATGTAAAAAGAGTGTTCAAAGTTCCTTCAAGAATAATCCTTGTGGCTCTTGTATCCACCCTGTGGGCACTTGATCCTGCCCTCTGCACTTTTGGTACTTACGTTTGCATGAGTAGTACAATGTTTATGTGTTTTATTTCATTTTATCAGTGCATCTTCTGGTTGTGGGATTTGGGGGTATGATAGCCTTATTTCATTTTTCATGCTTTCTGTCCCTCTCAGTTCAAGCTGGCAGTGTTTATGCTGATACAAAGAACTTCTTGGTTTTCCAAAGGGTGTTATGGGTATCACTTCATTAGTTAGAAGTCATCTCTACAAGTCTTTAGAAGGCAGAGCCCTCTGAATTTCTGCTTCATGCCTAAGATGGCTGAGAGACAATGCCTTCAGCTTTTTTTTTTTAACTTTTATTTAATGAATATAAATTTCCAAAGTACAGAATATGGATTACAATGGCTTCCCCCCCATAACGTCCCTCCAACCCGTAACCCTCCCCTTATCCACTCCCTCTCCCCTTCCATTCACATCAAGATTCATTTTCGATTCTCTTTATATACAGAAGATCAGTTTAGCATACATTAAGTAAAGATTTCAACAGTTTGCTCCCGCAAAGAAACATAAAGTGAAAAATACTGTTTAAGTACTAGTTATAGCATTAAATCTCAATGTACAGCACACTAAGGACAAAGATCCTACATGAGGAGGAAGTGACTCCTGTTGTTGACTTAACAAATTGACACTCTTGTTTATGGCCTCAGTAATCACCCTAGGCTCTTGTCATGAGCTGCCAAGGCTATGGAAGCCCCCTGAGTTCACTGACTCTGATCATATTTAGACAAGGCCATGGTCAAAGTGGACAATGCCTTCAGCTTTTTAGAGTTCCTCTGGTTGGCTTGAGGGAATCTGCAAGCCACACCTTCCATCCTTTCAAAGCATATTTATTGACTGAACCTTCTCATCTCTTTAGCTTTATGACTCTTTAGTAACTATATGGCAACCACAAACTCAATTTTTTTCTTTGTGCCACATTTTCTGAAGCATCCTCTTCACATCTTGACATTTTTATATCTAGATAGCCTGAGAATTCCCCAAATCATAATATTCTGGTTGTATTTTTAGTAATATTCACTCACTGTGTCTTTCTCTTCTCATTTTTCCATGGACAGCAAGAGAGAAAGAGGCTGCTTTTTGAATACTTTACTTAGGAATCTCTACTTCTTGTTTCCAACTTCAACATAGAAAAAGCCTATTCTCCACATCACTACAGGACAGAATTCTATGCACATTTTTTTTCTAGCAAGTATATCCTTTTGTCCAGTTTTTAAGATAATTTTTCTTGTTTGTTCCAGAAGTTGGTGGTGACCTTGAAATTCATAAGGGAATCTGAGTTTTTCTCTTTAGTGCTTCTCAGTACCCTCTAAGCCCTCACTAGGAAAATGTTTAATTAAGTCCATAACTCTCTAACAGGGTATTCAGTAAAATCTATTCTTTTTCTCTCTTGTGTTCCTCAAAGTCATGTTTTATGAGGCTACACCAATTACCAAAAAACTGGTGGCTTAAAATCACAGTCCCATAGGTTATATGTTTAAGCAGCCTTCTCTGGGTTTTTTGCTTAGAATCCCCTAAGCCTGGACAAGGTGTTGGAAGTCTGTATGCTTACTGAAGACTCTAGGCTGCCATCTACTTCTGAGCCTTCAGATCTTTGGTAGAATTCAGCTGGTTGAGGTTGAAGTACTAGGTTTTTCTCTTCCCTATGGCTATCACTTGGGAAACAGTACTTGCTTCTAGGATCTGGCTGTATTCCCTTTCTGTTCCAACTCCCTACCTGACCCAGAAGACTTTTCTGATTTTGAGTCCCATATGAAAAGTTGTGCTTACTAGGATAATCTCCCTATGCCAAAATTTCTAATGTTAATTAGATCTTCATAGTCTCTTGCAATATGGCACATCCATAGATTTTGGGAATTAGAGTGTGAGGATCTTTGGTGGGAGAATTTTTCCTGTCACAGCCCTCTGAATAAGAGCTTCTCCCATCCTCCTACCTTGTATTTTCTACGTCACCAATGACTTCATATTACTAAATCTAATGGTCAATTTTCTGTAACCATCTGCCTCACCCTTCTATACACCATTTGTTATGGCTAACTGCTTCTTTCTTACTATGCTGTCACTCTTCAAACTTTTATTCTTCCCTTTTCTGACACATCTCTGAGCTGTTCTTTTCTCTACCTCCAGGAGCTAGCTCACCCTAAGACCCATCCTTGAATGTGTTCACCATCCAATGCCCTGGTTGTCCTCTTCTCTTAATATGTTTAAAAAGTAAAATGCCACTAAGTTGATAGTTGTAGATCCCCATTTGGAGGAGTGAGACTCTAATTTTTAGCATTGTGTCACTCCTTACAGTTACATGTAACTCTATACTGTGTTTAACCAGTAACCAGCTGTTCTGTGTTCTTTGTTGTATAGCTGAGACAACTCTTCCCCCGAAATGGAACCCAAAGCTAAGACCACCACATCACTGCATGGTGCCAATCATATCATGTTGTTTAAGGCCTTGTGAAACTCAAAAAATACAGTAGGTGGAAGCAGCAATTATTCCTTGTGCAGCATTGGGTTGCTTATGTCCAATTCCATGAATATATATACTTCCTGTTCTCATGTTAAGAATAAGACATACTTATCACAGCAAGCTGCCTTTTCATGAACTCTTATGGTAAGGAAATCGTGTTCTTTATTTTCATTTTGCAGATATTTTCATTAATTACTTATTTCACAAGTATTTTCAAGTTTCCGGATTGATAATGAGACAGACAGGATCCCTCTATAAGAGAGGCAATTGCATGTTATTATTCATACTTTAGATAAGAACACAGATAGATACCAAGTGGAGAAGAATAAGTCAAGGTTTTAGAGAAGCATCACATTAGAGCCTCTTTGAGATGATAACATGTATGTTTTACCCAGACTGGATGCCCTAAATTCCAAGCTGAACAAACAGGAAAGCTAGGGTTGGTGCAACGTGGCCCTTTGGCAGGAAGGCTTTAGGGAAGGCTGATGTTACTGGAACTTACTGCATGGGAGCGTGATGACACATATGAGACTGAAGAAGTGCTCAAGGATCTGGTCTTATGATGCTCAAAAACCCTAGTGAACATTTGAAATATTATAGTGAAGGGTTGTACAATAAGGGAGTGTCTATACCATTCCAATACTTCTACTATACTATTTTGTCTGCTGGCAGATAATGAGTTGGAGAGCAGGCAGCAGTCAAGCAGGGAGACCAGGTAGGGACAGATTTTCCCTGAATAGTTTCAACACTGTTTGGGACGCATTATTTCCACATCAGCATTCCTGGGTTTGAGTCTGGCTCTGCACCACATTCCAGCTCCCTGTTAATGCACACCTTGGGAGGCTATGATGATGGTTCAAGTTGTTGAGTATTTATCACCTCTGTGGGAGACCTACATTGAATTTCCATCTCCTACCTCAGCCATTTGGAGAATTTGGGGAATGAAACAGTATATGTGAATACTGTGTTGTCTCTGTCAGTGTCCATGTATGTGTCTGCCTCTGACTCTCAAATAAATAAAACCTGAAACAAAAAATTAAAATTAGAAGTCTATTTTCCAATTAGCCATGTAGTTTTACATTTGCTGTCTAAAAAAAAGATTATGTGATAGTTGGATTATGTTTTTTTTAAAATTTTCAAATACACAAAATAGTACAAAAACATGTAACAAAAGATCACTTTGCATCACAAGGCATTCTTCCATTATTTTTATATTCTAATGCCTTAGGCTCTCAACCCATATTATCCTTCAGGTGTGTTTCTTGCAAAATTGTTCTAATTTCACCAGTGCCACTGAAGAGTTGCAGTTATCACTACCTAGTGAATCAGTGGACTAGTATGGACCTTTCCACATGAGGGCACTGGATCTCTTTTTTAACTCTAGCACAGTAGTTCTGAATCATAGAGTACCGGAATGCTATTCCTAAGTTCTTTAGCATCTTCCACATGGCTTATCACTCTTTCAATCTACAAGTTCACCTGGGCATCCAATTTGCAAATTAAAGAGACATGTCAGAGGTCTAAATTGAGTTGGTCAGCACCTATAAGACAATAAGATCCTTGTAGATATTGTTGATCCTCTTCTGTCTGAGCCAATAAAGGATTTTACTTATCATTAAAGCATGAAACCCCCTGGCTTCAGCTATAGTGTGGTTTGTTTGTTTTTCTAAGCTGGATTTGACCTGTAGACTACAGTACTTTAGTTTTTGGTAGGATCCATAGGAAAATTATCTAAACCAAATCTTAAGAGAAATTTTAAATAAATTATGCCTTGGAAAATAGTACAAAATTATCATTCAATGCATTTTAAATGCCTCTAATACAAGGTTATGTATGTTTAGTCTGTTTCAAGAAGAAAATTTTATGAATAAACCAGGCACTTTTTTAAGATTTATTTATTTATTTATTTGACAGGTAGAGTTACAGACAGTGAGAGAGACAGAGAAAGGTCTTCCATCCGATGGTTCACCCCCCAAATAGCCGCAACGGCCGAAGCTATGCCATTCTGAAGCCAGGAGCCAGGTGCCTCCTCCTGGTCTCCCACGAGGGCATGCACTTTTTAATATGGATTCAGCCCCTTAAATACTTTTGAATTAAGTAGGATTTAGGAAACAAATAAATGACTGGTTATCAAAAAGTTGCATCTTTATAATATAGACTGTAGTTCATAGCACATAGTCAAAATCCAGAAAGAGACCACTCAGTCTGTGGCTTTTGGCTTCCTTTGACCATATGTGTTCAGAGACCCCTGGGAAAATTGGGCTCAGGAGACTCCTTGTAAAATCCCATCTTACCCTTCTCTGCACTATGCAATGAGGCATAGATGTGAATGTGATGAGCTTAGTCCTTATGCATATAGAACAGGAATCTACTCAGGAGAATATCTGCTCCATTATATTTCAGAAACAAACTAATAGATGACATGATTGATTTTCTTTATATGCATAAGAATAAACTTAAGATCAAATGTGTAATAACATTGAGAAACTTGTGGATGACTGATTATATAGTGGACAAAGTCAAGGAGAGGAATAACACCAGTGCCAAGAGGTCCATTTTTTTTAAAAAAAAAATTTATTTATTTCTTTTTAAAAAAGAATTATTTTATTTATTTCAAAGACAGAGTTACAGAGAGAGAGAGGTCTTCCATTATGCTGGTTCACTCCCCAAATGACTGCAATGGCCAGAGCTGAGCTGATCTGAAGCTAGGAGCCAGGAGCTTCTTCCAAGGGCCCAAGGTCTTGGGCCATCTTCTACTGCTTTTCCAGGCCATAGCAGAGAGTTCGATCAGAAGAGGAGCAGCTGGGACTCCAACCGGTGCCCATACAGGATGACAGTGCTGCAGGTTGAGGCTTTGACCCACTGCACCACTGCGCTGGCCCCAAGAGGTCCCTTTCTTTAGGCAGGCCTATGGTGAAATTCATGGCCACTTTCCAGTAAGCACTACAGCTCTGTCTTCTATTTACATGTATTAAATATGGAAGGACATAGTCAATTTGCATTATGTATGAAAAAGTGAAAAATATGACTAAGTTTTCTTCCAAACTTTTCTGGAATAAGAAAGCCTTGAATCTGATCATGTGATAAACCAATGGCTCATATTTGGCTTCCAACATGCCTTGTACAAGTACGCCTTGTATTTTCTGTCACAAGAGGTTTTCTGTTCCAATCCACATGGAAGGCTAGTCTTCACTTCCTACATGTATTAAAGTGGATATATGAGTGTGGGAATTTATTTCATTTGATTTCTGAACCTACTTATTGTGGTAAAAATTGAAAGCATTGGTCCTAGAATAACAGGCAAAATGTGTGTCCTCATTTTAACATTTTAATATTGACTCATCATCAGATTTTGTCAGGTTTGACTAGTTTGCTAAAGTGTATACAGGGTTAGGTTCAAATCCTGAAAATATGCATCATTAGCTCCTTCAAAGTTGTCCCATGTCTTGGTTTTATGACATTTACCTCATTGCTTAGGATAAATCATAAAGAAAATCCAACTCATTAGCAAGTGGATGACTCCATTGTCTAGAACTATTGATACCAAATCAAACTTTTGTTTTTTACTTCAACAGAGAAAATGGAGCAGTCTGTGGAATCCAAGCTTGCAGAAGTCACCTTAGTTGACTAGAAGTCCCAATTATGGAAGGATGGAACCCTGTATCTATTATGGGCACAGCTACCTCATTTTATTCTTTTTTCTGAGATTTTCAGCATTAGTTATCTACATATTTTTTATTTTTTATTTTTGACAAGCAGGGTTACACAAGGAGAGAGAGACAGTGAGAAAGGTCTTCCTTTTCCATTGGTTCACCCCCCCGCAATGGCCACTACCACTGGCGCACTGCGCCGATCCGAAGCCAGAGGCCAGGTGCTTCCTCCTGGTCTCCCATGCAGGTGCAGGGCTCAAGCACTTGGGCCATCCTCCACTGCCTTCCTGGGCAGAATTAGAAAAAGCAATCCTAAAAAATGTCATTGGTTTTTTGATAGGGATTGCATTGAATCTATAGATTGTTTTAGATAATATAGACATTTTAATGATATTGATTCTTCTGATCCACGAGCAAGGAATATCTTTCCATTTTTAGTGTCTTTGATGATTTCTCTCATTAATGTTTGATGATCTTCATTGTAGAGATATTTCACTTATTTGGCTAAATTTATTTCTAAATGTTTGATTGTTTTGTGGCTACTGTGAGTGGGATTTCTTTCTTGATTTCTCTTTTTCTGAGCTCATCATTTGCATACCAAAAGTCACTGATTTTGTATGTTTATTTTGAAACCTGAAACTTTATTTACTGAATTGATTTATCAAGTCTAACATCTTTTTCATCAAGTGTTTAGGATATTCCATGTACAACACCATGTCATCTGCAAACACAGACAATTTCATTTACTCTTTCCCAATGTTAATAATGCCCTTTATCTCTTCTCCTCCCTAATTGCTCTTGCTAAAATTTAGAGTAATATAGTGAATAAGAGTGATGAAAGTGGACAATCTTGACTTGTTCCATAATGGAGGAGAAATGCTTTCAGGTTTTCACCATTCAGTATGATATTGGCTATTTTGTGATTTATAACATTTATAATTTATGATGTTTATTGATCTGTGAATGTTGAACCACCCTTGCATTCTGGGAAAAATCCCATTTTATCATGATATTTGATCATTTTAATGTGGTTTGAATTCAGTTTGCTAGTATTTTGTTGAGAATCTTTGCATCTATGTTCATTAAGTTTATAGGTCTGTAGTTTTCTTTATTATATCAAAGTAACCTTGGCCTCATAAAAATATTTGCAGAATTCTATCCTGTTCAATATTTTAGAATAATTTGAAGATTTTTGGAGTTATTTCCTCTTTGAATATTCTGTAGAATGCAGTAGGAAAGCCATAAGATTCCCGACTTCTTCTTGTTAGGAGATTTCGATTACTTCAGCTTCATTGCTTGTTATGTGTCTGTTTAGGTTGTCTATATCATCCTGATTTAATTCTGATAGGTTTTATGAATTCAGAGATTTATCCATTTCGTCAAGGTTTTCCAGTTTTTTAGCATATAGTTCTTCATGTTAGTTTCTTATGATCCTTTGTATTTCAGTGGTGTCACTTTTAATGTTTCCTTTCCCATCTCCTTTTTATTTATTTGAGTTTTTTTTCTCTTTCTTTCCTTGTTAGTCCAGCTAGAGGTTTACCTATATTTTTAAAATTTTTCAAAAACCAATTTTAGTTTTGTTGATTTTTTAGCTATAATTTTGGTTCCAATTTCATTCACTTCTTCTCTGATCCTTATTATTTCTCACCTCCTGTTGATTTGTGGATTGAGTTGTTCTTGTTTATCTAAGTCTTCAGGATGCGTCATTAAAGCTTTAGTTTGAGACATTTCCTTTTTTTAGGTCAGCCCTTAATGCTATAAACTTCCCTCTTAATACTGCTTTTGCTGTATTTCAATGTTTATGAATTTGTTGAGACTTGATTTGTGGCCTAATATGTGGTATATACTGTGGGGAGCAATCCGGACTGGACTGAGTTACTGGAATTAAGACTTATTCTATGCATCTGCTCTCTCACAATATGGCGCTGGGAGAGAAGTAAACAGCTTCCGCACAGCTGCCTCCAGTTCAGCTAATAAACTGTAGGACTTGCTCCTGATTGGAGGAGAGCAGCGTACTCGGCGTGTGGGCAGCCGAGTTAGGATTGGCGGAGGAGGACTATAAAGGAGGAGAGAGACGGCATTCACTGGGGAACATCTAAGGGGAACATCTAGCTGAAGGAACACCCGTGCAGCCCCCAAGAAAGCCGGCCGGCGGTGTGCCGCTCCCCTGCGGAAGTGGGGAATGTGGCCAGGGGGAACTGCCCTTCCACGGAGGTGGAAGGGTCGGTCGGTAGCCAACCCGGGAAGAACCAGCAGCAAACCCGGGGAGGGCCGAGCAGACGAAAGAACAGCGCAGGGTCCTGTGTCGTTCCTCCACGAAGAGGGGGAGCGACATAATGGTGCCGTGACTCGGATATGAAGCCTAGGCAGGACTCTGTGTCATTCCTCCACGAAGAGGGGGAGCGACATTATACTAGAAAATGTTCCATGTGTTGAGGACAAAAATGTTTATTGTGTAGCTGGTGAAATGTCAGCTGCATTTGCTCAATAGTATGTTTCAACATTAATATCAAATGAATGTTCATTAATACCTATTTGTTCATTGTTGCGAAGTTGCCTGTTCATTAACACCTGTTTTTCTATTCTTTAATACCTAATTGCACATTAGAACCTATGTGTTCATTAATACCTATTTTTATGTTTATTCATAGTTATTTGTCTCTTTGTTAATATGATTTGTTCATGAGCAATGATTTTTTTCTGTTCATGAATAACAATTTTATTGTTCAGTAATACCAATTTACACATTAATTCTTATTCATTATGTACATACTTGTTCATTCATACATACTTGCTCAGTAATACCTATTTGCTCTATGTGCTCATATTTAACTATTTTTTATTAATACCTTTTTGTTTACAAACACCTGTTTGAGTACTCACTAATGCCTACTTGACTGCTCATGAATACCTATTTGACTGTTCATGAACATCTACTTGACTATTCATAAATATTTATTTTACCGTTCATAAGTACCCATTTGTTCATTAATACTTATTTGTCTGTTCAATAATACCTGTTTGTTCCTCAGTTCCTGTTTGCTCATTCATATGTATCTGCTGTTGAGTAAATAACTAACTTCATTAACACTTTTTGTTCATTAATATTTATTTGAATATTCATTAATACCTATTTGTCTGTTCGTTATTATCTATGTTCAGTTCATTAATCCAAGTTCACTGCTCATTAGTACCTATTTGTTCAGTTGTACCAAGTGGTCTGTTCATTGATACCTGGTGTTCATTAATACCTATATGTTCTGTTATTAATACCTATATGTTCACTAAATTCTGTCCGTTAGTATCTATTTGTTGTTCATTAATACCTATGTGTCTTTTCACTGATACCACTTGCCTGCTTATTAATGCTCATCACTTATTCATTAATATTAATTATTTTTTCATTAACACCCATATGAATATGCATTAACACATATTTTCTGTTCATTATGCATATTCACAAATGCCTATTTGTTCATTAACACGTACATTCATTGATATTTATCTATTGTTAATTGTGCAGTAATAGTATTTGTTAATTATTAAGTATTTGTTCATTAATAATAATAATAATAAATAGTTTACAAGTAACTATTTGTTTAATAAAGTTTATTATTTAATGCTTATTTGTTAATACATACTTGGACTGCTCATGAATAATAACTAACAAACTCTTCATTAATGCATATTTGAGGGCTCATTAACACCTATTTGTCTTTTTTTATTACCTATTTTCTGTTCATTAATGCCTATTACACTGCTCATTTTTTACATGTTCATTAAGGGACAAATACCATATATTCTCCATGATCGATGACAACTAACCAAGCACCAAAAAGGAAACCTGTTGAAGTGAAATGGACACTATGAGAAACAGTGACTTGATCAACCCTTGTCCCGACTGTTGATGTACAATTTAATACCTATTTTTCCATTAACACATATTTGTTCTTAATAACTTTGTTCATTAATATCAAATTAACTGTTCAGGAATACCTGTTTGTTTGTTCTCTAATTCATTAATATAAATTGACTGTTCAGGATTACCTGTTTGTTCTCTAATTCCTACTGTCTGTTCATTAATGCAAGTTTTTGAAAGTTTCTTATTTATTTGTTCGATTATATAAATTTGTTCATTGATACCTGCTTATTCATTAATAACATTTTGAATGTTCAATCATATATATGTGTTCATTAATACCTATGTATCACTAAAACTTGTTTGTTCATAAATATCTATATATACATAAATATTTCTTCATTAATATCTATTCTAGTGTTCATTAATCCATATTTAACTGTTCATTAGTAACTGTGTATCTGAAAAACTGACTTCATTACTGTCTATTTATTAATACCTATTTGCACACTAATAATTAATTATTTGTTCATAATATCTGTTTGACTTTATTAATACCTTAATAACTTTTCAAATGCTTATTAATACTTATTTTCTATTATTAAAAACTTTTTAATGTGTTTAATACTTATTCGTTGATACGCTAATACATATTAGTCTACTAATTATGTATATTTGAATATTAATGATGATCTATTTATCTTTTGTTTAGTAGCTATTTGCTCATTAGTAACTATTTGCTAGTGAATACCACGTTGACTATTTATGAGTAAGTATTTGACTATTAACTATTAACACTTATTTGTTCATAAACGCCTATTTGTTCATTAATACCTTTTTGTCTTTCCATTAATAATAACTTTCACTATTTGATTGTACTTTAATACATATCTGTTCACTAATAGTTTTTGTTCACTAATATTTAGCTATCTGTCCATTAATATCTATCTTACTGCTCTGGAATACCTATTTTTCTGTTCACTAATATGTTTTTTAAATGTCCATTAAAATATACTGAGTGTTCATTAATACTTATTTTTCCATTCATGAATATTTGTTCATTAACAACTGTTGATGGTTGATAAATATCTCTTCATTACTTATTAGATTGCTCCTTAACACTTATTTGCCTGATCGTTATTGCCTTTTTGTTCATTAATACTATTTCTCTGTTCATTAAAAGGTATTTCTTAATTAATATCTGTTTGTTCACTAATTAGTTTGTTCATCAATGTGTATTCAATGCTTCAGTAATACCTATTTGTTTGCTCACTAATATCTATTTGACTGTTTTATATAAACAGTTTTATATAAACAGATAACTATAAATAGTTATCTGTGTGCTAAAAGGTATTTGTGTATTAACACTCATTTGTTAATTTATACCTGTTTGTTCATTAGTACATATTACCTGTTCAATAATACCTATTTTAATGTTCATTAATACCTATTTGTTCATTAATATTGATGGTAATGAGTACTTTTATGTTCATCATTATTTATTGGGCTGTTCATTAATACCTATTTGACTGTTCATGAATAACTATTTGTCTGTTAATTTAATGCCAGTTTGATTGTTCTTGATTGTGCACTAATGTTGCTTGATGTTTCATGAATATGTGCTCCTAAACACCTATTTTATAAAATGCCTATTTTATATTTATAGATAAAATGTTTAAAGTGCAATTGTTGATACAACTGAAAAACTGGAACTATAATTATATATAATTATATTATATAATTATCCTACAAAAATCTAATTTGTTTCATTGAGCAAGACTGTACCAGATTTTTATTAGTTCAACAACTACTTTCAATATTCTGGACTTCTTAGATAACTATATATACTTAGTAATAATCTATTGTGATACAGAATATGTATGTAAAATGCATGATAACACAACTTTTTTTCTCAAAAAAGAACCTTAGAATGATTATACAATGACATTTTCAATGTCCTGTAATTTGATGAAGAAAATACAATATTACCCTTGTTTATAGCTTTCAAACTATCCTTCTGTGACATTCTGTGTTCTATTCTGTTGCTTATGTCTTTTCTTGATGAAATTAAATTAACTTCACAACTTACTGTCTTTGTTAATTATTTTATTTGCTAATGATTAGTGCTTTGTTGGAGGCACAGTGCACAGTTAGGTATTCCTTCTGATCTCACGTGGGTTGTTCAAGGAACTGCAGTCAACTGACACTGGCACTGGAGATGCTTATTTGTCTTTCAATTTATGCGGGATCATTCTTGGTCTCCATGTCTTCAACAGGTAATCCCTGCCTTCTGTATATGAAGAAGGAAGAGTTTCCTTCAAAGCATGTGAACACTATTCAAACCTGTACTTGTTTCACATTTGCTAATGACCCATTCGTCAAAGTATACAGGTACATGGTCAAACTCAGATTCAGTGGAGGATGGGGCTACACAGGAGCCATGAAGTGTACTATAATGTTCTAAGACAAGGGGGGAATTATATTTACTGGAGGTTGTTACTGTAGTTTCTCAAAAAAATTGAAACACAAGGCAGTATGACCACCACACATCCTTTTATTCATTATCCCTAACACTGCATTTTCTGAGAGGCTGTAAGTGAATTTGGGTCTCCAACATGGGAGACAGGGTCCCAAGTGCTTGAACCCTCATCTACTCTCTCCAAGGCTGCACATTAACAGCTGCATTGGAAATGGGCTAAGTGAGAGCTGATCTGTGTACTATGATGTGGGACATAGGCACCCCATGCTAAGACTAAACTGCTGTGACAAGTGGCCAATTCAGCTCTGCATTCTTTAACAGTTGCTAACGGTTATTCCAAGAGTACTGAGAAATACATCTATAATAATAACAAGGCTTCTGCCTTGGGTAATTTTGGCTTCCACCACAGACAGCTAGGGCACTGCCTCAGGAGAAGTTACAACAGAAATATGAGGAAGAGATAAACCTGTATTTAAGCCCTTGTCTTTACTGTTGAGTAACAGTGTTTTATTCCTCATACTGTTTATTGAACTATTTACTAGTAGGGTTGAACTTATGAGTATAAAGTAAACTGAAAATAGATCTTCACAAACATTAAAAGTGAGAATAGGAGAGAGAAGAGGAAGAAGGGTGGGGGCATCAGTGAGAGGAAAGGTAGGGTTGATAGAATAACTGTGTTCATAAATCTATATATATATGAAATGCATGACATTTGTACACCTTAAATAAAATTGTAAAATGAATTTTAAAAATGAAGTCTCCTAGAAAAACAGAAACTGTGGCATAAGGATTTAGGTGAAAATAACATGTCATAATTGATCATAATGATAGGATTAAGAGTCAAAGGGATCACATAAACAAGACTAGTGTGAGCTAATACTAATTGATACAATTAAAAAGGAGAATGATCCAACATGGGAAGCAGGATACACAGCAGACTCATAGAATGGCAGATGTCCTAAACAGCACTCTGGCCTCAGAATCAGCCCTTAAAGCATGCGGATCCAGCTGAAAAGCCCATGAGAGTATTTCAGGCATGGAAAGCCAAGACACTTTGGGGAAAAAAAAAAAAAAAGACCTACATGAAAGATCTCTGCGAGTGAGATCCCAGCAGTAGAAAGAACGGGCCATCAAAGAAGGAGGTACCTTTCTCTGAAGGGAGGAGAGAATTTCCACTTTGACTATGACCTTGCTTAAATAAGATTGGAGTTGGCAAACTCAAAAGGCTTCCATAGCCTTGGCAACTCATGACAAGAGCCTACAATGATTACTGACACCATAAACAAGAGTGTCAATTGTTAAATCAACAACAGGAGTCACTGTGCACTTACTCCCCATGTAGGATCTCTGTCCTTAATGTGTTGTACTATGTGAATTAACGGTATAACTAGTACTCAAACAGTACTTTATACTTTGTGTTTCTGTGTGGGTGCAAACTGTTGAAATCTTTACTTAGTATATGCTAAATTGATCTTCTGTATATAAAGATAATTGAAAATGAATGTTGATGTGAATGGGATGGGAGAGGGAACGGGAGATGGGAGGGTTACGGGTGGGAGGGAAGTTATTGGCAGGGGGAAGCCACTGTAATCCAAAAGCTGTACTTCGGAAATTTATATTTATTAAATAAAAGTTTAAAAAATTTAAAATACATTAAAAAAATAACAAACAAACAAACAAAAAAGAAAATAACATGTTAAAATGCATATCAGGTGGCCTGCGCTGTGGTGCCGTCATTCCATACGGGTGCCAGTTCGAGTCCCAGCTGTTCCACTTCTGATCCAGCTCTCTGCTATGGCCTGGGAAAGCACCCATCGGGGAGACTGGAAGATGTTCCTGGCTCCTGGCTTTGGATTCGTGCATCTCCAGCCATTGGGGCCAGTTGGGGAGTGAACCAGTGGATAGAAGACCTCTCTCTCTCTCTGCCTCTTCTCTCTGTATGTAACTCTGACTTTCAAATAACTGAATAAATCTTTGAAAAATGTGTATCCAAAAAAAAAAAAAGAAAAAGAAAAATGTGTATCCATTTGGGTTATCAGACATTAAGTCCTAGTTACTGGTGGAATCCAAAAGGAAGCAAAAAAGCTTCCGAGGAGAAATTCTAAACAAAGGGAGTGAGGCACATGGAGCCCTGCACATTCCCCTGAAGTTTCTTGTCCCTCAAGCATAGAACAGGTCAGGAGAATTGTTCCCATCAGCCCAAGAATGAAATGAAGGCAATAAATCAGTTGGGTTTGAGTGAGCTATGTCTGCACGGCAGCTGTTTAGATCAAGTCCCCAGTACCAGAGGGCAAGCAGAGCATCTTCGTAACCGCTGGCCCTGTGAGATGATCATGGCAGTGCCCTGTGACTGACACCTCCTCTAATGCCCTAACTCCTAAGCACCCTAGCCCTCTAGAACAGACACACTTGTGCAAGTGAACAAATACTGCATTTCTACCATCTGGGATTAGAGGATCAAATTAGAAATTAGGTGTGTGAATTCAAAATCAAGGACAGTATACTTCTTACATTTTTCAGTTTCTTCATGAACTTAGCCTGTTTTCTGTCGGACCATTTTGGAAGGAAACTACATGTGGAAGAATTAAAGCATTGGTTCCATATAAGCTATCCTAGTGAAGTGTCTTCGTGTACTCCCAGGTCAATGTCCCCTACACTATGCTGTCTACATCTCTTCCAGTGTTGGGAAGGATGCTGAACGTTTATGTAGATCATTTGTCATTAAGTAGCTGATTCACAAAAGCTCAAAATTACCTCAGTAAAAAATTAGAATCTACTCTTACTGTTCAGTAGAAATATGAGATGTGAAATAATGTTTTAACCTGAGAAAAAGAAAAGCATTAGCCAAATCCATATCCCACCATTTTCATAGGATCAATTGTCCTGGGGTCCTCCGTTACTATCCTAATTTCTCTCCCCAGATACTCATGCGCTTCAGTTGCTGTAATGACATCTATTTACTTAGGAACTTGGCTTAATGTTGAGTAACTCAATCTGCTGTCCTCATCTCTAGGGCATGCTCTGAAATTCCTTAGGAGGTGAGGCCACAAACCTGAATGAGGTAGTAGTTGTAGATGTCTCTTCATGTCTCTACCATGCAGTAGGAAATAATGTGAGAGACAAGAAAACTTTTCTTTTTAGCTCCTAAAATACTGAACCACCGTATTTTCAAAGCAATGTGGAAACCTGGCAATAATTGTGATACGTCACACTAACAAACTGAAGAATAAAAAGCAGATGATTATTTCAGCAGATGCAGAAAAAGTATTTGTTACAATGCAACATCCTTTCATGATGAAAGCCTTAAGCAATATATGTATAGAAGGAGCATTCCTCAACAGAATCAAGGCAGTTTATGACAAACCCACAGCCAGTATCTTAATGAACGGGGAAAAGTTGGAGGCATTCCTATAAGATCTAGAAACAGACAAGGATGCATCATTTGGCAATTACTATTAAATATAATTCTGTAAGTTTTAGCCAGAGTCATTAGGCAAGTAAAAGAAATCAAAGGGATACTAATCAGAAAGGAGAAAGTCAAACTACCCCTACTTGCAGATGACATGATTCTATATGTAGGGAAACCAAAAGACTCCAGTAAGACTATTGGAAATCATGAAAGAGTATGCTAAAGTGGCAGGATATAAAATTAATGCACGAAAACAATAGTGTTTGTATACACAGACAACACCACGGCTGAGAAAGAACTTTAAAGATGAATCCCATTCACAACAGCTACAAAAATAATTTAATACCTTGGAATAAATTTAACCAAGGATGTCAAAGACCTCTATGATGAAAATTACAAAACATTAAGGAGAGAAATAGAAGACACTAAAAATGGAAATATCTTCCATGTTCATGGATTGGAAGAATCAATATAATCAAAATTTCTATACTTACAAAAGCAATTTACAGATTCAATGTGATACCAATCAACATACCAATGACATTCTTCTCAGATATAGAAAAAAAATGATGCTGAAATTCACACGGAAACACAAGAAAGCACAAATAGCTAAAGAAATCTTATAAAACAAAAGCAAAGTTGGAGGCATCATAATATCAGATTTCAAGACATACCACAAAGGCAATTATAATCAAAACAGCCTGGTAATGGAAAAAAAGAAAATAATAGATATGTAGACCAATAGAAAGAAAAGAAGCTCCAGAAATCAAACCACACTTCTACAATAAAGTTATCTTTAACAAAGGAGCTAAAATCAATTTCTGGAGCATGGACAGTCTCTTCAACAAATGGTGCTGGGAAAACTGGATCTCTGCATGAAGAAGTATGAAACAAGATCCCTACCTTACACGTTAAACAAAAATACACTCAAAAAGGATCAAAGATATATCTATGAACTAATACCAATGAATTATTAGAGAACATTGTGGAAACTCTGCATGAAATTGGCATAGGCAAAGACTTCTTAGAAAAGACCCCAGAAGCACAGGCATTGGAAGCCAAAGCAAATGGGACTGCATCAAGCTGAGAAGCTTCTGCACTGCCAAAGAAACCTTCAGCAAAGTGAAGAAGCAACCAACAGAATAGGAGAAAATATGAGCAAACTATGAAACTGAAAAAGGATTAATATCCAGAATCTATAAAGAGTCATGAAACTCAAAAAACAAAATAGAACATAGACCATTTCCTTTCCACCTGAGTTTATGGCTAGATCATTGGTTATTTTCTATGAATCAGTAAAAATGAAATTGCAGGGGATAAGGGCCCCTGCTTCCACGTAGCAGATAAAGTCACTGCCTGCATTGCCAGAATCCCATATATGCGCATTTTCGCATCCAAGCTGCTCCACTTCCAATCCAGCTTTCTGCTTTGGCCTGGTAAAGCCCTGCACCCATGTGGGAGACCCAAAAGAAGCTTTTGGCTCCTGGCTTTGCATAGGCTCAGCTCCTGCCGTTGTGGCTATTTAGGGAGTGAATCCCTAAACAGTGTTTGGAAGAAGATTCTCTCTCTCTCTCTCTCTCTCTCTCTCTCTGTCTCTCTCTCGTTCTATGCCTCTGCTCCACATAACTTTTTTGAAAAAAGGCAGGAGATTTTATAGTTGTTCAGCTTTTCAATCACTGCAAGAAAAACGGGATTATATTCAGCCCAATGTGCTGAATTGTTTCTAACATCTTTGATCATAATGGGATCTTTCTAAATGGGATGCTGCCTGTTCATTTCCATCCACAAAATCTACAGCTCTTTCTGAACCACTGTGACAAAAAGCACCAAAAGAATATAATATGCAAAAACATTCCTTCCATACCCAGTTTGCTTAGAGGTTTCATCATGAAAGGGTGTTGTATTTTATCAACTGCTTTCTCTGCATCTATTGGGATAATCCTATGGTTTTTCTTCTGCAGTCTGTTAATGTGGTGTATCACATTGATTGTTTTGTGAAGATTGAACCATCTTTGCATACCAGGGATAAATCCCACTTGGTCTGGGTTGAACTCTATAATTAACACACAATTATTCTTAGGTGTTTAAATTTAACTAAAAAGCGATCCCTGTTAAATATAAGAGTGGGAATAAGAGAGGGAGGAGATGTACAATTTGGGACATGCTCAGTAGGACTTGCCCCAAATGGTGGAGTTAGAAATGTGCCAGGGGATTCCAATACAATCCCATCACGATTGCATGTACCAATTCCATCTCGCTAGTCCAAGTGATCAATTTCAGTTCACAATTGATCACACTGATAGGTCTAAGAGTCAAAGGGATCACACAAACAAGACTACTGTCTGCTAATGCTAACTGATAGAATAAAAAAGGGAGAGAACGATCCAACATGGGAAGCGGGATACACAGCAGACTCATAGAATGGCAGATGTCCTAAACAGTACTCTTGCTTCAGAATAAGCCCTTAAGGCATTCAGATCTGACTGAAGAGCCCATGAGAGTATTTTAGGCATGGAAAGCCAAGACACTCTGACAAAACAAACAACAAAAAACCTACATGAAAGATCTCTGCAAGTGAGATACCAGCAGTAGAAAGAATGGGTCATCAAAGAAGGAGGTACTTTTCTCTGAAGGGAGGAGAGAGCTTCCACTTTGACAATGACCTTGTCTAAATAAGATCGAAGTCAGCGAACTCAGGATTCCATAGCCTTGGAAACTCATGACTAGAGCCTAGGGAGATTTCTGACACCATAAACAAGAGTGTCAAATTGTTAAGTCAACAACAGGAGTCGCTATGTACTTACTCCTCACGTGAGATCTCTGTCCTTAATGTGTTGTCCAATGTGAATTAATGCTATAACTATTATTCAAACAGTATTTTACACTTTATGTTCTGTGTGGGTGCAAACTGATGAAATCTTTACTTAATATATACTAAATAGATCTTCTGTATATAAAGATCATTGAAAATGAATCTTGATGTGAATGGAAGGGGAGAGGGAGCAGGAGATGGGAGGGGTGCAGGTGGGAGGGAAGTTATGGGAGGGGAAGCCATTGTAATCCATAAATTGTACTTTGGAAATTTATATTTACTAAATAAAAGTAAAAAAAAGTGCCTAATTTTTAAATTGTGATGGATGCACATAAACTGATAACAAATATAGTACATTTGTTATCTTTAATAAAATACTATTACATTAATTTAAATATGAATTAGCAAATTCATTTTTTCATACACAGATTTTCAGATATTTTAATCCAGCTATTATTTTTATTTTAAAAAAGATCTACTATGAAGTCAATCAGGCTCTTTAAGTATATATGTAAATATTTATGAAAACCTATAACTAATGTTAATAGGACAAAATAAATATAAGAATAACAATTTCAAAGTTACATAAAAGATTTATAGTGTCAAATGTGATCAAGAAAAATATTACATGTAGAGAGAAGTAGTTCACAGAGATTTGATAGATAACGAATAATGTGAGATACTAGCATTTTTCAAAATTTGTAGATAAGCAGTAATAATTACATGAAAGTAAACTATTTTGGAAACAAAATTACAAAATTCAAGTTTACAATGTTACATTTTCAAATTCTGTACATGTTTTCCTTTCAATTTTAAATGGAATATATAATAAAAGTGATTCCAGGCAAGATGACAGATGAAATCTCAAAAATTTCTAATGTGTTTGTATGGGACCAATTTGAATATGGAGCAATAAGATATTAAAAATCACTAATTGAAAGGCAAACCCTCTGTTTCTGTGCATACATTTAGAGTTCTATTTAATGTAATGTACTGAGCTGGTAAGTGATCACTCAACTATTTTACACTTCTTCTGCTCTGAACTCTATTCATATCCTGAAGAAAAAAGAACAGCATAGAACAACATACGCAGCCACGTGTGAAACCAAGAAACAATAGTCACCAATTACCAGCATCAGAGGGAATTTCATTAAAAGACATTTGGTACCTAAAGAGAAAAGCATGAATAAAAAGGATTCAAAATGAGACAAAGTCCTTAAAAGTAGGGACCAAAATTAATTAAATCTATAGAATGTTGAACCTTTCTGCTTTTTTAATAATTTTATTTAAGGCACACAAATTTTATACATTTCCAACATATAGATTCAGGAACACAGTGGTACACCCCCCTCGACCTCTCACCTATGCTCCCACTCTTCTTCCTCCTCACTCTCCTATTCTCATTCTTAATTTTTTAAAAAGATTTATTTTACTTGAAACTCACAGTTACACACAGAGGAGAGATACACACACACACACACAGAGGTCTTTCACCTGCTGGTTCACTCCCCAGATGGCCACAATGGCTGGAGCTTCGCTGATCCAAAGCCAGGACCAGGAGCTTCTTTCTACATGGGTGCAGGGGTCCAAGGCCTTGGGCCATCTTCTACTGCTCTCATAGGCCATAGCAGAGAGCTGAGTGGGAAGTGGAGCAGCCGGGTCTCGAACTGGTGCCTATATGGGATACAGGCACTACAGGTGGCAGCTTTACCCGTTATACCACAGTGCTGGCCCCTAAATTTCCTCTCTTGAAAAATGCCTATTCAATTCCTTTATCCTTTTCTTTTTTTAACTTTTATTTAATGAATATAAATTTCCATATTTATATTCCAATTTTCATAATGTGCATTTTTTCATAAACATTTTGAAGTCTTCTTGAATGCTTGGGCTTCAAAGTTTTCACAACAAAATGAACATTTTTAATTCCAATTTTTCACAGATTTTTGAAGTACCTTCTAGAATAGTAAGTTTTCCCTACATGAATTAGATTTAGAAAAAATAATCAGAATGTGTTTTAACTAAGATCTATTTTCATGTAACTTAATACACATACAGTTAACTCTGTTAAATAAAGGGTTCAGGGTCTGGCACTGTGGCACAGCAGGTTAATGCCCTGGCCTCACGTGCCAGGCATCCCATAAGGGCGTCAGTTCGAGACCTGGCTGCTCCATTTCCTATCCAGCTCTGTGTTATGGCCTGGGAAAGCAGTACAAGATGGCCCAAGTCCTTGGGCCCCTGCACCCATGAGAGAGACCCAGAAGAAGCTCCTGGCTCCTGGCTTTGGATTGATGCAGCTCCGGCATTGCAGCCAATCGGGGAGTGAACCATCAGGTGGAACACCTCTTTCTCTCTCTGCTTCTCCTCTATCTGTGTAACTCTGACTTCCAAATCAATAAATGAATGTTTACAAAAATAAAGAGTTCAACCATTAGTATGAAAGAAAAAAAGGGTAAGTAAAATAAGATAAAATAAATGAAAAGAAAAAAAAAATACAAAAGCACAAAAAACGAACCTGTTCCTCAATAGTCAAGGCATGTGCTGTTCCATGTATTTTCTCTCAAAATGTCGATTTCATTTCTACATGTTGCCTTTTAGGTGCTCTATTAGTTATCACAGGTCAGTGAGAACATATGGTATTTGTCCCTTTGGGACTGGCTTATTGCACCAATGATGATGTTTTCCACTTCATCTGTTTTGTTGCAAATGACTGAATTTCATTTGTTTTTACTGCTATGTAGTATTCCGTGGTGCACATATCCCATAACATCTTTATCCCGTCTTCAGTTGATGGGCTTCTAGGTTGATTCCATGTCTTTGATTTGTGTATTGAGCTGCAACAACATGGAGGTACAGGTAGCTCTTTCATATGCAGATGTCATTTCCAGTGGGTGCATTTCCAGGAGTGGGATGGCTGGATCATACGGTAAGTCTGTGTTCAAGTTTCTGAGATATCTCCCTACTGTCTTCCATAGTGGCTTTACTAGCATACATTTCCACCAACAGTGGGTAAGGGTACTTTTTCCCCACATCCTCACCAGCATTTGTTGTTTGTAGATTTCTGTAGGAAAGCCAGAATGTGGTTTTAAAGCAAATATAGTCCAAATGTTAAGGTTGGATAATAGGTAACATAAGTCTATTAATCAGAAAAATATTCACTGATTACCTAAATTTAATTTTATAAAATAAATACCTAAATGGGTCAATAAAAATAGGATAGAATATTGAGAAAATTCATAAATTTTGTGTTTTCCTAACTGAATCTTGACAGAACCTACAATAGAAATCCCCTAAATTCTCTAAAGAATTCTCAGTAAACAGATTAAAATGCAAAAGAGTTATTTATTAACATGTTACATCAAGGCCTTCCTGATTTTGTGCATTTAAATTCTCTTGATTCTGGTTGTTTTCCTGTCTACAACCATCCATCTTATGCTCTATTGAAGTATTTGTAAACTGATTCAGTGTTTTTGGCTCAATGTCAATTTCATTATATCCTGACACTTGAAGCCCGTTATCATGACTCATCAATCCAGCTCCAAAACTCACCTTCTTTGACCTAGAATTTCAGATTAATTTTTAACCAAGTCATCTGACCTTCATTGATCTCAGTTCTTTGCTGGTTACATCAAACCAGGGTCATGATGATAGCAGTTTCATTTATGAATAGTAAATTTGTAACAAATAACAAATTTCCTTTTATGTCTTTTCCACACCAAAGATGTGTCAATTAAAAAAAAACCACAATTAAAATAAGAGCAGTATATGAATAAAAAATATGAATGGATCATAAGCACAAAGAAGATGGTCAGTCAGGTTAACAATTATGGGTTTCTCAACAAAATCAATGATATATGTTCCTAGAATTTGATTTGACAAAAAATAATAAATACTATGGATGAGGAACCAAATAAGAGGACATTCCCATGATGATTTCACGGATAAGTAAATAAAATGAAAACAGACAAAGAGCACATATGGGAGCAAGAGAATAGACTTCCACTAACCAAAACTGAACTAGCCAATATTGAAACCAAAAATCCAATGTAGTTATATCAATTCTTATGCATTTGAATATCAGAGAAATGGCCACCACTAGAGACGCAGATCCAAAGGGCCAACCTAAGGTCATCTTTGTCAGAAATTTTATATGCTCCAATTTTGAAGAGCTTCATTTTCAAAAGAAAGTGTGCTTCTGACTCAACTGAATTTTATCATTACTTAAGTGCCCAAAAGTAAGAAATTCTGATGCTAACAAGGGGAATTATTGAAGTATTGCTGTCTGTTGTATCTGCTTTCAATTAAGTGAAGGAAGCGTTAAGAAGTAAGGTATATGAAGAAAATACTGATAGTGAAATGACTAAAAGATTCTGTCCTGGCTTCTCCTCTTCCAGTCCAGCTCTCTGCTGTGGCCTGGGAAGGCAGTGGAGGATGGCCCAGGAGCTTGGGCTCTTGCACCCTCATGGGAGACAGGAGGAAGCACCTAGCTCCTGGCTTCTGATCTCCGCAGGAAGCTGGCCGTAGCGGCCATTTGGTGGGTGAACCAATGGAAGGAAGACCTTTGTCTCTGTCTCTCTCTTTAGTCTCTTTTGGGAGACACTATTCTTCATTATCCAATGTGTGTGTTTTATTTATTTAAAAATGTCAGTCACTTCTGTCCTAGGTGATGTTGAGGCCAGTATATACAATAGTCATTTTCACATGCTACAGTGATCTGAATAAATTATCATGCAAATGTTAACAAGGATCTCACGCTGGTTTTTTTTTTTTTTTTTGACACAGACACATATGGTCCACACGATGGTATTTTAGTCAAATAGAGGCTACTTCTGAATATGCACATTAAAAATTCATGCTTCTTGCCCTTCTCAAATAGCCTGACTTTAAAGGATCTAATTTTTTGCTTTTTTGTTTTTTCAGATTTATGATATTCTGCCTCATTCAGCATTAGAATAGAACTGCTTATGGATTTCTGGAATTAGACTTGTATATTCCTTAATGGTGAATCAACAATTAAATATATGGAATAATCTAAAAGGCACAATTCTCAAAAAATGTGCCAATCTTGTCACATCTTGATCCAAAGTGCTTGAATTAAATGGAGCAGTCTGATTTACCTGACACCCACAGGTGTGAAAGAGCTCTAATCCCTCTTCTGCTTCTTTCCATACTTAACGAGCTTTTG